TCATTGCCGGCGCTGCCGCCGCCACCGTTTCCCCCTGTGACATGCCTGCGCCTAAGACAGAGGCGCCAGTGCCCAACATGTCTAGCGCCATAAAGCCAGGCCGGGCTGCCGCCGCAACCGGTGGCGATGTGACGGCTGCGGGGCACCGCAGTCCCATGAACTCAAGGGATGCGGCGTTCTGGAAGAGCACCTGTCGACCGTCGTAGGACAGCATGGTGACCAGCCCCGGCAGCGCCGCCAGTGCGGCGTAGCTCCTCTGCAGGTGGCCCAGAGAAGGGTCCTTTGGCGGCGTCGCCAGCGGCGGAGAGTATCGAAGTACCAGCCGCAATACCTGCCCGGCTCCGGCGCCTTCCCCCGGCATCATCGCTGACCCCGCCGCCGTTGCCATCATCGGCGCTCTCAACTTATCATCCTGCTGCACTGCCGGCACAGAGGCCGGCAGCAGCGGCTGCAAGGTAACCTGCAATACCAAGTCCACCGCCGCCGATTGGACTCCATCGCTAGGACACTGCGCCTTGGGTCTGCAGCGTGGATGCTTCGTTACCAGCACGGTCCGGGCCTCGCTGCTACGGCCGCGACCGGTGTTAACCCCGCGGCCGCCGCCACCGCCAGGCTCTGGGCAGCTGGCGCCAACCCCGGCCGGTGGTGATGGCGGTGGCCGAGGCGGTAAGCTCGAGGATCTCGAATCCATCGCGGATATGCAGCTCTCACGCAGGGCCGCGGCAAGGTGAGGTTCCGAAACCAGGAGCTCCGCCAGCAGCACCTCGTAGTCTGCAGGCGTCGTACAATTAAACAGTTCCCGCGCAGCCTGGTTGATCTCCTGGACCAAAAGCCTGTTTGGGGGCAGCAATAGTGTCGTGTCTAAGAGCCATTAGGAAAAGCAATCCAGCAATGTTGAGGGCACTTTCTTTGGGGATTTGGACTGCACATGCAGCGACAGGGAGCGACACCTTAAGGAGGCTTACCTCACGGTTTGGCAGCCCGGATACGTCGATACAATGTCCAGCTTGCATGACCGCTGTTCCTGTTGTTGCTGCTGCTGCACGTTGCTGCGCCTGCAAGAGCCCTGCTCCAAGTGCATGCCGGTACTCAGCTTACTGTTGCGCGCGCCGCCTGCAGGGTCGCCAGCCGGCTCTATGCTGCTTCCTCCCTCAGGCCAGGGCGTTCTGGGAAGCGTGAGCCCGAGGTCGATTCCGCCACCGGACATGTCCGTATTTAATTCATTGGCAACCTCAGTGCCATCAGTTGTGCTCCCTGGATGGCTTGTAGGCCTTGGGCCAGGCAGTACCGACAGCAATACAGCCGCGTCATCGCAGCCATGTAGGTAGTTGTGCACAGCTTGATAGGCATAACGACCTGAGACGTCAGAGGACAGGCACACAGGGCGCCGTCGGGATGCATGGAATCGGATTAACTAGGAGCACCAGTGCCATGGCGTTACGTATAAGGGAGTAAAGCCAGCTTGGCGCCATGGTCCGCCATGCAAGTCACACAGAGCGAGCACCTGCAGCAGCTGCGAGGTGCACAGTCATCACCCCGAAGACCAACCTGAAGGGCTTTTCAGTGACCGAGATGATGACCGACACTGGGAGCCGTGGCCGACGATTATGCTTGAGGTGACGCCTTTGCGCCGCGGAAGTCTGCCATACCTTTGCTCCCGGTGGACAAGAAATGATAACAGTCCCGGAAGCTTCCATTTGGATTCTCCTTTGAATCCGGACTGATTATCGAAATCTCTACGCGAAGCGGCCGGTGACGAAATGAAACAACACAATGGGTTCATGCCGTCAAGGAATGGAGGAGGAAAAAGTGGAAGAAGCCTTTAGGCCTTTGGAGATTAATATTCGTTACAGAAACTAGTTTTTATGTGCTTATTTCGTGCGCAATTCAGGGTGGCTGGCCCTAAAGCCGGCAGCGGGACCGCCCACCAGGTAAGCTAAACCTCTATGCAGTTGAAGCATGGATGTTTGTTAAGCAAGTCATCACACCCTTTATTAAGATTCGTTTACTCTTTCATTAAGTTGCAAACAGGGGCGTCCATGGTTACGTCGTGTTCCGTACTTGGGGTTTCAACCGCAAGGTAAAGTCTTCAAAGTAGATGTCCTGTCATACCCAGCTTAAGTTTAAATATAGTACATCATGACGATATATGGTATGTACGTTTAGAGAATTGCTGGCTACACAAGGAATGGTGTTTTTAGGTGTCTGGTTACCTCAAGAGGCTATAAGCGCTCGCTTCCCCATGCCATGCACAACGAACTTCAGTAGCTAGCGGGCGCTCTCCGCCACATATCTTTTAATTCACGTTGCAGCAGGGATTCCAGCATCCACATAGGTAACCTGACGGGTAAATTTCCGTATCAGTAGATACATTAGACCTACACAGCACCGTACGGTACGCGGCGTCTTCTCTCACGCTTTTCGATAAAATAGTTGAACTGGCTTAAAGCTGTTACCATTTCACGGCTTTGTTTGATGCATATAGAAGCAGATAAGGCAAAAATGAATTTGTTTGATGCGTGAAGAAACAGGTAAGGCAAAAATAAATTTGCTTGATGATAGTAGAATCAGGTAAAAATGAATTTGTTTGATGGAACATAAGTGAGGTCACACTCTGCAAGTGGATCGGAATGCGTGGGTTGCGAACCCATAACTGGATCAGGAGCCCTAAACTGAGAAATGCTAAGCTCATATAACCATACAGCTAGCAATGGCGAAAGATATGATAAAATCTGGACATAGAATGGTGGAAGGGGTTCCAACCGCTCACCTACCGCCACCTCCGCTTTACTTTCTCCACATGCGAAGGCGTGATGTGTAATTATTAAACACTTTATCATTTCAGAATTGAGCTGCTCCACTGCTGCTCCCTGTTCGTTTGGGGCTTCAAAATGGACGGATGTTACAAGCATCATCAGCGAGCTCGTACGGTCCAGACGGAGGCTCATGAACCGCTTCATTTGCACAATGAAAGACTGAGAAGCAAAATAGAAATGCGCACAGCTATGCCCAAGACAGTAAGTACCTAACACGTCTCAGCACGGCATTACGAATACATGCCGAGGATACACGAAGACGCCTTGAGATGCTGCTGTTCGCCCGCAGCGCAAGCGAAATATCTCGAAAATGACGTTCGCAAGACCAAAGGCGCCAAAGCTTTTTAAAAGTTTCGGTCCTTTGCTGTGGGGTGGGTACTGTCTAGGGCTCTCCTCTCTGTCGGTCCCCCGAATCATGAACGGAATTGAACCTATAAGGCTAATTACTTGGCCCGATGTAAATACCTTCTGTTTTGCCGCGTTCGGGTGACGATAATACCATTACAGGCAAAACAGAGTAAGGGTTCAACGTACGCAAGCAAGTACGTTTTTGAAGAAACCGACATCAAGCCAAAACCGCGCAGCCAGCCCAACAGCTTGGGTCCAACAAACAGATAAAGCACGTTTTCAAACTCATATGTACAGCAGTGGGAGATGGAGATCACGCCGGCGCTAGAGGCGGCACATGCCAGACGGCGAACGAGCGACAACGAGAGACACGCACTAAGAGGAAAGCAAGATAAGCCAGGCTCCCGCCAGGTCGGTAGCTAATACGACACCAAGTACGGTAGCTAGTGCGACTGTAAGTACGGCTGCAAAACTATGCGCGCGAGCTGGAGCTCGGTGGAATGCACGCACGGGGCAGGAATGCAAGCGCGAGTCCTAAAACACATCTCACGTCAGGTAGGAAGGTAGCTGGGTAGCTAGATGGGTAGTTGTGTTCAAAGGGCTGGCACAGTCGCACAATTCTTGGTACAAGGATGCATAACTTGATCAATGTTAATGAGAGAAGAAAACGTGCTCACCAGTCGCGCTCTAGGCAGTACAATCCGCCGACAGTCGTCAAGTGCCGTAACTCACGGCATTCGTACATTGGCATTCGAATCCTAAAACCCTTCGATTGAACGCACTAAAATGTTGGACAAGCATGCTATGTACATATGCGCCTACCGTCTCACCATATTCTTTCGTACGGAAAACGACTCACATACGCTTGGAGTAAGCGCTTTAGATGTAATACATATAAAACAAAACGACGCAGGGTACGTAGGCTTAGGAACGAGGCAGGTAAGCGCTTGCACGCAACGCAAGCAACACAGGGTGTAGTTGCTGCCGTACAACACACATCATAAAACGTTTTTACGCGCTAGCATGAGATCCCAGTGCACACCATAAAATCACTGTGCTCGCTAGAGCATCTCAATCACAGCACCTCGAGAGGCCTTTTCGGCGATCAGATGCGGGGCACACGGCGACGCTGCCGCGGACTTGAAGCGCAGCCGACAGGCACACCGATCCATCACAGAGAAAAGTGAGGCATAGGCCACAAATAGCCGGCCACACGTATCATCAAAAGCAGGTATCGACGGATGCAGCAATCTTTCGGGGCTTTTCGCAAATAGACGTTATATTCCTGAAACCCACGCGGCGTCTCCCTCCTCTCCTCTTTCCATCCATACACGACCCGTAATACGCCTGCCTGCCGACGCCTACCGCTCAAGACGCAGGTTCGTCAGGAAACATCGACGACATGGATACCTGCACACATTGACCACCCTTTACTTCCTCTCGCTATTGACATAATAGCTAAAACGTCGCAGTTTTGAACCGTTGAACCGTTGCGAATCTCTGTCACCGCCGGCAGTCCCGCCGGCCTAAACAAAAGCGATGGTCACCCACTTCGAAACCACATCGCTGCGCCCATCCAGGAGAATGAGCGCATCATCATTACAACCTTTGTTCCACATCCAACCACCCGATAGGCCATACGCGACCCTGCCAAGCCATGCAAGCAGTGCCGACAACAATACCAAGCCATACATGATGAAAGCAGTACAGTGAAAGTGCACAGCATCCGTCAAATACATAAATATAAAACCCTCAAAAGTCCGCCATGCAGCTGTCGGAAGCCATTTATCCCTTCCAAATCCTGCTGGCCCCATCTTAGATAAGAATCGTGGACTGCTAGATAGCAGCTGCGTGCCCCACGAGCTGGGTGTCGCCTACGCAACCCAAAGCTGCGATGTGCGGGGCATTTGAAATTTTGTTCAGCAACGAAGGTGCTATGTACAACATCACCCAACAACTCACGGGAGCTGTCCTCTCGATGATTTCGTCAACAGAGCTTGTCGATCATTCCTTAGGAAATCATCATAGAGGCCCGGGCTCACATATGCAGATGCAAACTGCCGAGCATAAGGATAGATGTTGCCCTAGAAGACTTCCCGAAGACTTCCCGACCGGAAATTCAGTTGTCAGGGCACTCACGGATACTCCAACCGTCCCTTCCCAAACCAAGTCGGTCATACTTCGATAGCCGATATAAATTCACAGGCCTGCCATTGCACGACTTACTCCCTTGATCCCTGTCGTAATGAAAGCCGATCGGATTCCGTGGCTCGCCGGGCGTGATCCCGTAAATTGCACAAGGGGGACCTGATCTCTTGGCTCCAATCGCGCTCGCATACTTGAAAACATTGATGCTTGCAAGGCTTGTCCTATGAAGCAAAACGGAGACCATGGCGTGTTACTTCCCATCAGGCCTGACCTAGTTCGTTTAACGTCAAAGACGCGGTTCTAGGCAGCTCGCAAGGCATACGATTTGCCATGTAAACGCCCACAATGAGATCTTGGAATGGTTTGAAATCACAACATTCACCTGGGACAGCCCGCTTTGCGCGTTGACGCGAATGGCGTTCGCGTTCAAACCTAGCACGAACCTTGCTTAGCTTACCAATTATGCGTAAGAAGGAGATGCTACAGTAGGACGTGGTGCAAGGCAAAAGTAGATCATGAGCAGAAGGCCCAGCACGAACATCGTTCCTCCAGCGGCCAGCTCGCCGACAGGACCAGTAGCATACATGCACCAGCCCCACATATTGCCTCTTGGATCCGCCTCACGCAAGCGCTGCGGCTCGTAGAGCGCAAACGAGAAAGCCAGCACTGTGCAGCCCTTCTCGGTGCCAGACGGGTCCTTCACTGTCAGGTCTTTATTGAATTCCGAATAACAAAAGTTACATCCATGAGTATTAACACCTCCGATGATGAGCCATACTGCCCCTGTCACTAGAAGGACAGTGACAACAAGCCACATCGCAAAGTTTGCAGGCGTCCTGAAGCCCCAGTAAGCCATTTTTAAAATTGCTTGTAAAGTTAATATGAGTGTTATGAATTGCATCAAGTGTGTATGAAGCAAATTGTTTTAAAGGGGACATGTACGAAAATGCCTATAAGGATTGGCGTCCCCTCAGCGGCAAGGTAGCGTTAATCCCAGTGGCAAGATAATAGCAAAGGCGTTGATAACATGCTCATCAAGTTAATCGCGGGCATATTTTCTCAAGCAGGCGCGCTTCGACTGGCAACCAAGCTGCTGTAGGAAGCGAACGGCTCGTTGAACCTACGCTACAACGTACGACCTGAACCCACCTACGGCGTGTTGTACCCATTGCTAATCCCATGCATAATCAAATATCATTACAAGAGTCATGCGGCATATGGTAATCACCCGAGCTCATGTCCGCGCTCAAACGTCAATTTAATGGCACGCTACACGAACATACCTTCCTCAGCCTCCGACAGGAGGGTAGGATCCGGGCTGAATTTGGGGAAGAACTCTGTTGCAGAATTAGCCTGGATTTTATTCCTGACACAAGAATTGGTCCGCCGGGGTCTTGAATTGTTCTGGCGGGCTCGCCGGAGGTATTCGAATTGCGCTGTGGAGCCCCGGAATTGGGCTGTGTTGAGCCTGAATTGGCCTGTCAGGGTGTCGAATTAGTCTGTCAGGGTGTCGAATTAGCCTGGCAATGTATCGAATCAGCCTGGCAGGGTATCGAATTGGCTGTCGAGTTGGCAGGATTGGCTCAGGCTGGCATCCGGAAGCACATGACTTTTAAGGAATTTACAGAAAACTTTGCAAGGGACCGCTTACAAGTGCCTCATGTGCGTGTTGGTTTCGATCCCAGGACGTGGACTTGCACACCTGGTTACCGTACTCTGGCAATGTAGGGAGGCAAGCACTCAGGGCCACAACTGCAATACCCAAGTCAGGAGCCGATGCTCCACTGTTTTCCTACCCCACTTCATCGGCAGTTTGTCCAGTTCATACCCACACTACTCGTATGCATGAATAGGTTCGGGTGGAAACAATGGGAAATCTCCGATACACACCGCTAAACTCAGTACCACGAGCTACATTGAAAACAAATGAAAATGCAGATGTCTGTGGAGAAGAATGTGTGCTCCATGTGTGTTCCGTGCCTCAATTCATCGAGCTCTCCGTTGGGCGGGGCAAGGCCCATGAAGTTGCCCCTGGTATTCCGCCCATGCAACCAAACACTGACACAAAACGTTGCACGTCTGGGCCCATGTAAACCACGACACTTCCGTGTGGATTGGCTACCCGCGCTCCCCATGTCGGGGCTCCTCCCTCCTGCTGGTGACTCCCAGATTGTCCACGCACAAACGCCAAACGTTGGCATAGAAAACAGACAGGCCACTGCGGTATGGCATCAAACCACGCATAACCCACAGCGGCTTTCAGCAGCAGTACTGCTTGGCCAATGCGACCAGCCATGTACTCCGTTGCGCATCAAACACCCGTCCACGCGTTGCACTCCAACAGACCATCGGATTCCATATCGTAATACACTGTCGCCCCTACACGTGTGTTAGCAGCCGCGGACGAGCATGGGTCCAGGTTGATCCCGCCAGGAGTGAACACCTCGCGCACTAGCTCTATGATACTCAGTGGGTTGAACCACTCCGGGCTTTCACTGGAGAGAAACAGGCGCACATTCCCACCCCCTCCGCTTCGAACCATATGGCCTCCTTCAACAGACTCGCTTTCGCTGACATCCATGTCGCCGCTGCTGTTGTTGCTGCTGTTGTCGCTGCCAGTCATGGTCATAGTGCCCCGCAGCAAACAAACTCCGACCGTATGCCTATTTTTGCACGGCGCTGCATGGCATCATAACGGACAAGGCGATCATCAGTAGGGCCTAAGCTTCCCTTCTATCTCCTCACAGTACGACTAAGAGAATCGCTCCCCAAGCTGGGAATGCATGGGGTTTCGCCCTTCTACGTCATTTAACTCTGTGTGTCAATGTGTGTGTGTGAACTGAACCACTTAGATTACCACTTGCGATGGATTCGGTCGAAGAGGGCGGCGCACGTGCGGCCACGGATAACTCTTAACTGGCTCCTCGAAAACTTAAAATCGCAAACCGAACCATCTAGGCCTGTCAAGGAGTAATGCATACGGAGAGCCAAGATTTATCTGCACCAACAAGTCAGCCGCCGCACGCTGGCGCGTGCGTTCTGCAACGTCGCATAGATATACAAGTACAGGCAGGCAGGTAGGCCGGATATGCATGCATGGGCCGTGGACATACGGGACTCTGCACCCTCTGCGCCAAAGATGGATGAGTTAATAACGTCACCGAGGAGCCGATGGGCTCTCAAATCACAACAAGTTTTTATCATTGCATTAGCGCTGTTCATGACGCAATGTTTGGAAAGCTGCACTCCTTGAGGCTTGAACAGAGGGAGGGAGCGAGAGCGAGAGAGCACGCCTGTCATGTTGTGTAATGATTGGAATTCCTTACAGATACGCACGCACGTTCATAGAATTCTCGAGTCCCCTCTACACTAAGGGCCTAACCACCACATACAAGCGGTTACCGGTCGCTCGTACCCCAATCCTTATACCCCATGAGCCAGACAGGGCCGCCGGCCCCGTTGAAATGATCAACCGGGGCCGAGGCGATGGAGATGGTCAAAGGGAAAAGGCGTGGGTGGAGCTATGGCGAGTCGGTAATAATCGACCTAAGTTAAAAAGGTTGGGTTTTTAGGGGAAAAGGCGCCCTGGGCTGCAATTGGCTGCCATGCTCGCTGCAACATTTCAGGGGAGGACGACAACTTCACCACTCTAGGCGCCAAAATAATGACAGTTGACCGTCCATGGAGGCCCCGGCTTTCACGGATGGCCCCCGCACTTGTGGGGGACTTGCAACCCTTCTAACATGCAGCATTCCTAAGGTAACGTAAAATTTTCGATCCATCTTACTCCAAGACTTTCCCTTGTTCATCCCCTAACGGGGAACCGAAGGGGGGGTCTAAGAGTTTGGGAACCGAAGGGTTGTGTGAGCAAACCCTCCTTGGCTGGCTCATGCCTGGGCTGGCCCGCAAATCATGAGTCCTGTTTCGCATCAAAACTGGCGGTGAAACAATCCGGAGTTGTCATAGCGGCATGCGCTGTATTGTCAGGCCCCGGTGCTTGCCCCTATTTTCAAAATATTGAAGGGGAAGCCAGGAGCTTAGCCTCGTGCTATGGCATTTATGTGCTCTGCTATGCGGGTGAGCCCTCAAGGCGAATTCTGCTTGCATAGCAGTAGCAAGCGCCTTAACTGAGGCAAGTTGAGACAACCCAAACAGCTCCCAAAGGAGCCCCGAGATGGCGCTATCGTACCTGTGAGGTGCGGCCTGCAAGTCGGCACCTATTATAGAAGACGAGAGAGGAGTTCGAAAGGATGTCAAATGTCTGCAGGATGTCGACTGGTGTCGAAGGCCAGTAGTCCAGGTCAAAGGAGATAAACACGCAGGATGGTGGAGGTCACATATGTGTCAGTGTCTTAAGGACCTGCAAGGTACTTATGAGCGCCGTCGAACAGCGTTGAGCAAACGATATGTCATCATCATAGCACTATGTCGGGCGTCAGGGAGCGGTAAGTAAGCGGCGATGAACATAAAACATTCAGAGGGGGCACCATGAGTTTATAATCCCGTCATGTTACGTGCAGTGATGTACTGGAAACAAGAGACTTGACGCACTGTCATTAGAATCCACCTACGATTTTATGAGGATTTAGTTACATACTAAGTTACATACTGTTTCCAGGCTAGCGCAGCAATACCCAGTTTTACGTGAGGGCTAAGCGCATTGCGCACGTGCGTAGTTTACAGTTGACTATCCACAACGGTGTACGACGTCTGCAAACGGCCAACGGGTACTTTCCGTTTTGGTCCCAGGAGGTGAGGTTTGATTAGTACATCAAGAAGCTATACCTCCAGGCTGAAGTGCCTGAGAGCATGACCAGCAGATAGCAACCAAGCGATACCGGTGATTTCACGGTATGGCTTACACTAAGTTAGCTATGTATAAAACTTGACGTAGGAAATTTTTGCTAGAGTTGTGCCCTAATGCCGCGACCAACTAATTTTGAGCCGGGAGGGGCTAAACAGAGTTCAGATTCTCCCTGCTGATGTAACGAATGATTCTAGCTTTTAAGTTTGCGACTCTTACCTTGGTGACGCTTATTCTATGGGCGCTCCTCGTCTACCCTACACAAGGTGTGTCTGTTGAGGCTTCTGTCCAGCGCCGGGAGTTGCGTTCAAGTGATAAGCTTCGGCGTACAGGCTCGGCTGCATTGGTTGGCGTTGCAAGGCTTTCCGGACCTCTTCAGAGCTGTCTGGTAAGCGCGTCACACTTGGATAGTTGTCTGTTTGGTCTCTGTGTAATCTTTGCTCTTTCCGTGGCGTTCATTATGGTGGTACACGCCTTAAGTCGACGGGTCAACTCGCACAGGTCGCGGCATCGGGTACTAACGCGACAACGGCAAATCGCACCACGGACGAAAGCGGCAACTTCAACGTCTCTGTAGGGACAGATGCAGACCAGGTCATACGGGTAAGCAATATGCCTTAGAAGCATGCCAAGTCTGGCAAGACTCTGAAACCTGTCGCCGAAGTTGGCCTTGATGCGCGCCGTGCGATTGATACTTGGGTACATGACCCGAGGTGCAAGAGCAACTGATAGCCAGCCATCTTGCCCTCCTGGTTAATCTCATATATCACCATTTTGCTCTTCTTCCCTCATTACCCGGCCCGGCCCAACTGCACAGGTCTCTATCAACCCGGGGTCACCATGCTTGGACGTGTTCACGAATGTGAAGCTGCCGTTCCAGCTGTCAGCCGTGCTGCCGCCAGACGCCACGAATGGCAGCGTAGGATACGGCTCCTTTTTGGGGCTGTCGTACATGGAACAGGTGCTGGCCGTCAGCAGTACCAACAGCAGCGATAAAAGTAACCTTTCCACCCCTGATGCTAGTAATAAGCTCCTGAGCAATATCACAGCTGTACGGCAGGTCATGCGGGGTTTGTACGGCACGTTCAACATCAGCTTACCTGGTTTCCGGCTAGATCCGTTGCAGCTGCAGCCCTTGTCCTTGGTGCGAAGCACCAACACTACAATCCGCAGCCTAGCGGTGGCGCTTCTTGCGGTGGAGGTGGAAATGGGAGCGCTGACGGCGCTTGGCGCAGCCCTGCTAAACGTCTCCGCAGTCACAGCTATTGCTAACGGCACTGCTAATACCGTCGCGGCGGCGGCGGCGGTGGCCAACATGACTCTGCTGGCGCGCGCTGTTGCCGCTGAGGGCGGGCGAAAGCTGGTGCAATTGGAGGCGCAGAGGGAGGCTCTGATGGCGGAGGCCGCTGCGGCGGCGCTGCAGCGGAACGCAACCGCCATTCCTTCCGGGAACGCCGAACCGGCTCCGCCGTCGCCGCCATCGCCGCCGTCCCCGCCGCCGGTGCCGTCCCCAGCCACCGTGGGCGGGCTCTACACAACCGATGTGGTGGCGGCCGTCCTGACGGCGGCGGCGACACGTGTCGGCGTTACGGTGCCGTCGTACGCCTTGAACGCCACGGCGGCTGTGATTGCAGGCATGGCGGCGTACGCTGAAGTGGTTAAGAATGCGGCGTTGCTGGAAATCGCCGGCATCAATTTGGGCCTCAACCCCCTTAATGCATTCATCTCATTGACGCGGCTCGCGGCGGTGCAGGTGAGCCCTCCCTTGAGTTGCCCTCTAGGAAGCCCCCGGGGGGCCACGATGACGCGTGGCGTGATGCGTGATGCTGTACGGCACTGGATTGTCAGGTTGGACGGTAACGGGTGCGGGGGCTGGGCTCGGACGCGGCGCTGCGCTGCGCTGGCTGGGTGGGAAATGCGGGGGTATAATTGTCCTTCGGCTTTGGAGGCATGGATCGTGTGACGTGTTGTATGCGGTAAATGCTGCGCGTGACGATACGAGGTTACGGGAGAGTGGGGGGTTTGTTGGGGGGAAAGATGGCCTACCTTAGCTCCATTCATGCATGCGTGACCGTGGCATGAACGCATGCAACGCCCTGAAGATCAGGAAGGTAGCCTAACCTAGCAGGCCATTCCTCATCCAACTTCATGCATCCTGCCGGACCGTCTCTCCCCTCAAGTGCCGCGCTGAGGGCGGCTGCGTCACATTAATCACTGCTCCGGACTCTAGAAATGGGTGTTTCTTGGGCCGTCGGCAGTTTCAGGTCCTTTCACTTTCGCATCACCGTCATATCGTCACACTAAAATCAATGTAAAACGAAACATCCCCGCCCTCGCATAATTACCTCGCCTGCCGGCCGGGCTGCTGATGACCGAGCAGGCTGACGCCGCCGCGCAGATTCCCGCGCTGCTCGGCAACAATCCACAGGCCCTCCACACATACATACTGGACGCACTCCCAGAGCGAATCGGCATGGCCAGCGTCAACGTGACTGCCATTCACACCGCCCTGGGCTTACCCCCCCCTGCGACGGCGGTGCCGGCAGCTGGCGTCGCACACGTTGTGGGTCCCCTTAGCGGTTGTATGGGTCAAGCCACCGGCGTGTGGGATCCAAGCTACGAGGCTTTCCTGACGAGTGGCTCCGGGGGCCTGGTGCTGAGCGCCAAAGGTCAGGGATTCGTAACGGTCACGCCGTACCGCTACTGCCAGGACGGCCTGACAAAGCTACAGCTGAGCCTGTCATTGTCGAACTTGGGGCCGTCAATGGGGGTGGTGAGCGTTTCCCCTGTGGCGATGCTGGCGCAGGTGGGTGTGGGTTGCGGTGGGCGGGTGGGGTTGGTGGCACTTGTTGATGTTGATGTTGCCATTGTTGTTGTTGTTGTTGTTGCCATTGTTGTTGTTGTTGTTGTTGTTGTGCGGTGGAGATGATGAGTGGCAGGGTGAGTGGCAGGTAGTTCGGGGGGGTGGGGCGCCGCGGCGGGGGAGACGACCTGGGGTCTGGGCATGGGTGCCGTTTTGTGTTGTTTATGTGTGTGTATGTATGTATGTTTGTTTGTGTGTATGTTACACGTCCGCTGCTTATGAAAACAATCAGCGGCCCCGCCTTAACGAACCGAGAGTTGTGGGTGTGGCTGTGGGTTTGGTTGCTCCAGTTGTCGTGTGGGACGGAAACAAACGGCCCCAAGGAAACACGCCTCCGCGGGGCCGGGTTGTCAAGGTTTGGGTTTGGGGCGGGTGGGGATTCCCAGGAGGTGGCGGTGGGAAGAGGGAAACGGGGAGAAAAAGGCGCTGTGTGCGGAATATGGGAACGGAGGTAGCGGGTGACTACGTGAGTGCCAGAGTGAGTGCCGGAAGTGTGTTTGCTTCCTGGCATTCTTCCTGGCGGTGACGCCTTTTGTCGCGCTTTACTTTTACATGTCCTGAGAGGGCAGTCATGGCATGTTTTTGGGAGGGGCCCCGTGCGCTATGCGACAGGTACGTGGGTCGCGAGCGCGCAAGAGCTTTGTTGCGCTGTGTGTCATCTCCTCACAGCTCCTCACACAAACTCCTGACTTTTCTTTACACCACGAGTGGAATAGTATACATTAACAATATAGGACAATATATATTTTATTTCCCGCGCCGCCCGACTTCTGCCACGCAGGGGTTTTACACGCTCCAAGCGTCGCAGGGTCTGCAGGTCATCGCACTCTCCCAACAGACCGCCGCCTTCGCAGCCGTGGGCCTGAACCTGACCGCTTACAACGCCTTGATGATTCCACCGCCGCTGAACTCCTCCGACAGCTTCCCCTCGACGGCCTCCTGGTGGTCTCTGTCGCCGCCACCGCCGCCGCTGCCGCCCACGCCGCTGGCTCCCGTGGCGTCGCCGCCGCCGCCGCGGCCCACGACGGCATTGCTATGGTTACAGCAGCCGCCGGTTCCGCCCTCGCCGCCGCCCACCACTCTGAACACCGCCGCCGCCGTGGCATTTAACTTGAGTCACCCGCTCATGGGGGCCGTCATTGCGGCGAACGCGCAGCTTGTGGGTCTCATCTACGCGGCCAGGTGTGCTGCTATTTGTTTGTTTGTTTGTTTGTTAGCCTTGTTTGTGCATGTTTGCTCCTGTGCTTGTTGGTGCGCAACAACAAGCCGGCTTTCAAAATGGAATAGCATTAAGAAAATGCTATTCTAAATAGTGAAGCATTCAATCAAGCTAGGATTTAGGAGGAGGGGGTATTGGAAGGGGAAAAGCACGGACCGTGCGCCTGTGTGTTTTCGGAGCACGCAGGCAGACAAGCTGTGCGGCGTCCTGAAGGCGCAGCACCGGAATAGTCTTTCTCCCGGCTAAAGAGGCTTTAAGGTTTCAGTCAACCATGTTGCTGTCCTTAAATAAAAACATTGCGGAATGGGTCGGCTAGCGTGTTCGTCAATCGGTGACGAGATGCACGGCGCCCCCACGGCCGCAGCGCCCAATTCATCGGAAAAAAAGGCATCTCTTTCCAAAACCACCTCTCCGAAATCTTTCCACATCGCCCCGAAACCAAGCCGCCATCGGTCTCACCTCACCTCGCAGGGCCATGTTCGCGACCTCGTGCAGCTACGCCTACCGAATGGGCAGCATGGAGAATGCCCACACCTTTACCGTAACGCTTACACTGTACGCCGCGGCTATGCAGGCCGTCGATTCGGGCGGGTACGTAAACCGTCCCGCGAGCGGCAACAGGCAGCGCTCCCCACGTTAAGGGGACCGACCGGGGCTGGGGTTCTACGGATTGTGGAAAAAGGATGATACCTTCTTGCGAATGCGGGTGGGGAGAATGCGGTGTGTGTTTGTGTGTGTGTGGGGGGGGAATTATATGCAAGGAAATCATGTAAATGAACTGCCTGCCGGAAAGCGTCCGGAAATTCCGAAACTGCCCCTAGTGAGTCCCAACCGATGACGTCACATCGACCCGTGGTTCCGGCAGGAAACCAATGGTGGTGGGGGTTGTAGATGGATGCAGAGTTTTACGGTAGCACCATGCGCCCTTGTCGTGCGGTGCATGGTTTGGCGTTGTTTTCCCTTTCTCCCCCCCCCCCCCACACCCTTACATTATACCCCGCTGCTGCCTGGGGCCCGGTGTTGCGCTGCTTGAACGGTGGGGGGTGGGGTGAACACAGCGTGTTGCAGCTTACCGACCCGCTGCATCTGGAAGATGTGTTCAGCTTCGTCGCGACGGTGTGCTACTTCAACAGCACCGCGCAGCAGCAGCAATCCCAGAACGCATCATCGCCGGTGAGTGAGCGGGGGTGGCAGCGTGCGGAATGTTGATGGAGGACATGGTACAGGCAGGCAGATGGTGTTGGGCGTTAGGAAGTGTTAAGGTTATTGTTTAACCGGAGGAGATGGTCTTGTACTGCGGCTTAAAAGGACAGCAACTCCAAAAAACATGCCATACCACCTGCCATGCCATGCAACCTCATGTAGACTCCCCACCACCACCATCACCACCAGGGGGCTTACCTTTGAGCCTCCTGAACTCACTCCTGCCCCATTTCCCCCCCTCCTTGCGCCTCCTTCCAACCCCCATCAATTTCAGGACGCTGCAACTCAGCAACAGCAGCAGCAACAACAACAACAACCACAGGAGATGGCGCCGCAATCTCAGCAGCAGTCCACCAGCGATGCGTCCCCCGGTTGGGGCACCTTCCTGTCAGCCGGTAGCGCCACAGCCATCGGCGCTGCCTCCACCTCCACCATGAGCACCACCACCACCACCACCACGACCACGACCACGACCACCGGCACTTCCTCAGGCCGCCGCCGCCGCCTCCATAACCGCAGCAACCGCCTCCTCCGGCGCCTCCTCCGTAGCGATTCCACCGCCGCCGCAGCAGCCGCTGCAACTGCAGTCGCTAGAGCCATCTGCGGCATGTCCTTTCCGGGATCTCAAGGACTCTCCGGGCATCACAGGGGCGCGGTCCTAACCCCGCGGCGCTGGGGGGCGGAGTTGTTTGCACTGGGTGTCACAGGACCCGAGCTGCTGCTGTGGCAGCGTGTGGCGGAAGAGCTTAAGGAGGAGACAGCAGTCCGTGGGGGCGGCTGGGGCTGGGGCTGGGGCTGGGATGTGCAGGTCGGGCAAGGAGGGAGCGGTGCCGGATGTGGCAGCTGGGGAGCAGGAGGAGGAAAAGAAGGTGGCGGTGGTGGTGATGACGGGCAAGGCGGAAGGGGGCCCGAGTGTCTTGATGTTGGGGAGCAGCCATTGGAGGTTGAGAGCCGGCGGGGCGGCGAGGACTGGAAGGCGAAGGAGCGGGAGTCGCAACCTGTGGCGGAGCGTGTGGCGGAGCGCGGCCTGGCGGTCTACGTGGATGACCTGGACATTGTCCAAGTGTACACAAAGGTGGCAGAGGTGAGGCGACTCTGCAACGCAGGCAGCCGTGCGCTTATGCTTTCTCTGTGTGTGTGTGTGTGTGTGTGTGCCTCTGGCGGCCATTGGGTCCACCACCTTCTGGCCTGTAGATGCGGGCACAGCTGCGGTCGCAGCCGCCCCTGCCGCAGGCCCTCCTGTCACAGCCGCATGACATGCTGTCTGCAACCGTTACACGGGAGACCACTGCATCCCGCTCCCGCTGGGCAGCTGCTTTCCTTGTCCACTGTAAGCTGCGCCCTTGTGTCTTTGCCTGCTCTATGCTCATAAATCTTAGGTTTCGTCTTAACCCATCTTCCCTCTCCATCATCCCTACTGCACTGCTTTCCTTCCTGTTTCCATTTATGCCCCGCCCCCCTTCGCACCCACCTAGTAGACCAATGCCCTCGTTCTTGCTGCGTTGCCTGGGACCTTCCATGCTCTTGTGTGTCTGTTTGGTTGTCGGTCTGTCTGTCTGTCGGCCTGTCGGCCTCCACTTCTTGCGGATGGTGGCCGTGCGCATTCACTCGTGCGGAAACCTGTACGCCTGTATTCATGTCTGTTTACCTGTCTTCGCACCCGCCTGCTCTGCGTTCAGATTCTTTCCGGCATCAATGTGAAGCTCCAGGCGGTTCAGGTGCAGTCCGATGCAGCAGCAGCAGCAGCAGCAGCAGCGGCAGCAGCAGCAGCAACAGCTTCCGGGAGCCTCTCCTCCTCCCAATCCTCCGCTTCTCCATCCTCCTCCTCCTCCCCCTCCTCTTCATCTTCGCCACCGTTAGCAACCGTCAACCTGACTGAGCTGTTGGAGACGGCGTCCCAGTTAGGCTTCGTGGTACAGCAGAGTCTCTACACTGAACTGGCCACTGTGAGTAGAGCGAGTCGGTGTTGGGATATCCCTCTAGTGCTGCTGTTGGAAATGACCGACACTCATATAATACACCAGTGAATGGTAACCACAGTAATAGGACCCGGCTGGGGTCCGGCGCTTTGTTGCTGGTCTTAACAGCTGCTACTCTTGGTGGTGGTGGTGCTGCTGCTGTCGCTGTAGCTAGTAGCTGTTGTCGCCGACACTGCTGTTACTGGCGTTATGGTGGATGGAGCGAGTGGCTTAGTCCGCGAGAATCTAAGGAAGTTTACAACAGAGCCAAACACGATTCATTCCACGCGCCTAAGCGCGCTCGGAGATTCGCAGATGGCTTGCAAGGCATACAGGTATATACCATACACGTCGTCGAGTACACGTCAATACACGTCCCAGTTTTCCAAACCGGAGGAACCAAAAGTTGCTTCGAGCACCTGCTGTTCATCACCTGCTTGCAAACCTCCATGATTTGAGCGCCGATGCTGCTGCGCCATGTTACAAACATGCGCATGGCTACTTCAAGCCGCACATATTGGGCATACGGCTGTGTCATGCCCCCCATGTCGCAGCAGCTTCACTCGTTTGTGGTTCGTCTTTTCCCCCATGTCGCTTTCCGTGACAACCCTATTCCACCTCTGTCCGCAGTTTATGGATGACACGTATAGCACCGGCCGGGCACTGGTAGAGGCCCTTCAGGGCATCACCGCTCGGTACACGGGAACGGCGCTCCTTGACCGCATGTCCGAGGCCAACATTAACAGAGGTATTTATCTTTTGGAAAGGGCGAAAAGCGCTCCTGGGGAAACCTCTCAAAACACACAGATTGAGACGAGACCGCCATAACTTTCCGCGCCCTCTTGACCTCTGAAATCCCGCAGAGTTAATCTGCACGGCGAAGGGCGCGCTGTGCGCAACTGCGCCGCCGCCGCCGCCCCTAAATGGTGGTAGCAGTGGCAGCAGCGGCAAGAAGGCCAACGCGGTGTTGTATGCAGGCGTGGGGGCGGGCGTGGGGCTGGGCGTCGTGGCAGTGCTGCTGGCCGCGTGGGCAGTACGGCGGGCGGTGCGCAACCGCCAGGTGAGTGTATTCGGGGTGGGGTGTCATGCTGAAGGAAAGATAAAAAACGTGAAGAGGAAGAAAATGGAAATTCAGAAACGAAAACAATCAAATTTTGAAGGAGGGTTATTTTGAAGAGGATAGAAGCCTAGCTCAGCCAAACCCGGTTCCGGACCCGGACAGATCCCAACCTCGATCCCCTTCTCCAGCAATCACAGTTCGTGAGTTATACACGACCGGCCGTGCTTTCATTCTGGACTTACCTTGAATTTCAAATTCATTCTGGACTTAAGTTAATTTGAAATTCATAGTCCCTCTTCCCGTCTCTTAAGCTCCTGTCCCAGCTTGGTCCGCTGCGTTCTCTGTCTCTCCCTCCTTGACGCTCTCTCCCTCTCTTCACACTTTCCGTCTTTGGTATCTGCTCCATTCGCTCCAGTCTTATCCCTCTCTCTCCGTCTCCCTCTCTCTCTCTCTCTCACACACACACACACACACACACACTCTCTCTCTCTCTCGCTTTTTCTCCCCCACAGGTTACAAAGGCCGTCGTCAACAACTTAAAGGCTGGCGACATGCACAACATGACTCTGAGGCTGCCCTCCGCCGTACCTCTTGACGGCATGCAGTTCGGCTCAGTGCCTGGGAAGGTGCGCTATCGGCGTGTGGCGAGAAATACATACGCACGCGCTCTTCACACGATTGCCTTCCGCATGCGTGCCTTCCTTCTCGCATACACTTCTCCGCAGTTATTTAAGCTGGATGTGACTTAGACAGTTCATAAAACCCGAAGTACTTGAAGAAAGACTTAACATTGAGTGAGATCAAGAGTTCGAGACCGTCATGAGGCAGTTTTTTTCCTTTGTACACTTTTCTCTCCTGTTTCCTGCCATCCTCTTTTCTGTCATTTCTTTCACGTTTATTCTCTGTCCTTACACGGTTTTCCGTTTCCTGACTTTTCCTTTCCTTTCTTTTAACCCCTCGGTCTTTTTACGAGCCTTTCCAGCCTCTTGAGCCGTACTACTCATTGGTGCCCGCGGCGCTGGGCTCCGATCCCACCGTGGCGCAAGACTACCCCCTCTATCCGGTGCCCGCGCTGAGCCACAACGCCACCAGCAACATGTTACCGCCACACACCAACGCCGCCGGCCCCGCCGCCGCTGCCGCAGAAGCCAACGCTGGTGGCGGCGGCGGCGGCAGCGATGTCAAGGGCAGTCTCCCAGGCCAAGCCTCCGTAGGCGCTGGCGGTGTACCGCTCAATATGTCGGTGCCGATGACAAAGCTGCCGCCGCTGACGGGAGTGGCTGACAGCAGCGGCAGCAACGGAGCCCCGGGCTTACCACAAGCGCATACGCACCACCACCAGCAGCAGCAGCAGCTACCGTACATGCAACCGTTATTACATTCGCATTTGTCAGCGGCCCTTCCGCTTTCACCTCAGCAATCTGCGCTGACCAGCGGTGCCGGCGGGACGCCACAACGCGGCACACATGCTAACGGCGGCGGCATGTATAAAACGTATGCCAACTACGCTTACGTAGGGATGCCGGATGGTGGGGGCGTTGGCGGGAGTGGCAGCGTCGGCAGCTTGGCCGCCGATGAGCGTCGCCTCGGTGAGCCTCAGTTGCAGAGGTGGAAGAGCCAGGGGCTTCCTCAATGGCGCCTTGCTGAGGGCGCCAGCGGGCCGTCACCACTCGGACCAGCAGCACAGTACAAATCGGTTGGCAGCGGCATGTTAGGCGATGTCGGAAACCGCGCTGGAGAAGTGGGGCCCAGGCATCCTTTGCAGTCCACCACCTCGAACGTTCCGCAACGCATGACCCCGTTCAGCGCTGACGGGGGCGGTCATGGAGTCCTTGGCGCCGCCAACAGCCTGCTGAACCCAAGCACAAGCCGTCGTCCGGGACTGCCGCCGCTGGCGCCCTACACCTCCGTCACCAACCCGGCGGCGCCGACGTCTGCACTCAATGCGTCGCTTCGCACCATTCCTGTCAACACAAATTTCAACTCCTCGCTGCGGCCGCCGTCCTCCTCCCGCGCTTAGCATCGCTTAGCTGCGACTTCTGTTGGGAATTGAAAAATGTTCGTCGAGCAGACAGCAAGCAGCCTTCTTGCGCTTGACAGCCTTGCGCAAAAACCACAGTCCCCATCGGTGCATGCGCACGCCGCAGGCCTATTTTGACTGCTGGTATCGCCACCAAGACATGAACTCTTCTTCTCCCCAAAGCCTCGATGACTGACTGAAAGCTAATGGAAGGTAAGCTATGGACCGATTTCATGGGTTTTCGGAGGTCCTCGCTCCTGGCTGGCAGCGTCTGCCACCATCGTAGAACGAAGCCCGTTTCCATAGCAGCTCCGGCTTATAACTAAGAACGTATTATTGGAGGGCTATATGTTCACATGTGCGCGAGGGAAAGAGAGCGGTGCGATGCTCATGCGCCGACGGCGGCGGGCGCTAGGAAGAAGCCGTAGGTCCACGAGAAGCGCCACGAGAAGCGCAAAGTGAGGCAGAAGGCACTTGCATCCCTACTGCTAGGAGCGATGGCGATGAACGCACGCGCGGCCCTCTTCCTGTGCAGCGTGGGTATATATAGCCAAGGGCGGAATTGATCACTTCCTCGCTTGGGTCTTCCTTTTTTTATGATTACTTCGTTGTTGAAGTGAAGTCATTGAAATGATGTTGCGGTTTTTCACGTTGCAGCTTCGCATTATAGCTTATTGCTGATGCCGCAGCTGACGACATCTCCTTCCTACCTGCTACCTCCGTTGCGTCATGTGTATCCATCGCGGGCTTTCTGTTTATTTAGAAAAAGCCTGTCGACCGTGTGACCACAATGAGGATGACCGGTAAATAAGGATTTTGCTGTTTTGCATGCGTGGTTTCGAGCGGCCTTGCTGAAGGTCAGGAACACACAGCCTGGCATCATCCGTCGTCATCTGGTGCTTCCTACAGACAGTCCTTGCTGCTCCCTTGCCTGTCATGTTTTGCTTTTTGCCTGCCACTCGCACTGAGCGGGCACGAGGACTTACTGCCGATTTCAGAAATTCCTGCATCTTGCATGATATTCCAAAGGGCCTTCTCGCGCCGTCCAGCTCGCTCCGTTCCGAAGAACGAACTTATTATAACTGACCGACCGTACGACAAAAGTGCATGACCGATGCGGTTAATGACGTAAATATGTACGAAGGGTATGAGGGAAAAGCACTGCTGCACAACCTTTTTTGTACATTTTCGCTCGAGACTGGGCTTTTGCTTGCATGGGTATATGGCACCTGGTGACCTGGTGACGCCGAACTTGATGCATATGAACGATGACTGACCGCGAATATGAGGCTGGCGTGCATGTGTGTGTGTGTGTGTGTGTGTGTGTGTGTGTGTGTGTGTGTGTGTGTGTGTGTGTGTGTGTGTGTGTGCGCGCGCGCGCTTCAGCAGTCGCAACACTAGGGGTGTCCGTGCTCGGCTTGCTGATGTATGGTTAGATAGTTAGACGTACTGGTTGCTAGAATTGATTATCTCCCACAGTTTGTCTCGATGTTATCCTTTGAAATTGTTCATAGTACGAAGTTGCATTTTTCCATCAGACGGTTTGAAAGATCCATGGAGAGTACGACAGCTGGTCGCTAGGGATGGGTGGTGCATGGCTTAGGTTGGCTTCGGCAGATGCCTATATGGTCATTGTTGTTGTCGTCATCGTGGTACAGTCCGAATGCCCCGCTGCACATCAGGGCCATGCATGCAGATGTACGGCAAAGTGGATGGATGGGGGCATGTACAGCAAAGCGGGGTTGCCGCCAACCACCGCCGCCTTATTGCGTCATCAATGGCGAATGATCGTGTGAAGTAGTGGGATATAGCTTCATCATCCGTGGCCACAAGTCTGGCAGTCCCCCCTTTCCCGATGTTTGTTGGGGCACCCTCATCCTCTGCGCACATGACGAGTTCTGCGAAGTCAGTAGTGACCTTATCGGGCTCAGCACCCATAGCAGCTTCCAGTGGAATCTGCCGCAGATCAAAGGCGGCGCCAACTTGTGTTGAAGAAACGGCTCGCAGGCCGCTATAACCGGATACATCACCGTCCAACGGCATGGGGGTGCATCCACTCTCTTACGGTCTTAGAGGTTCTTTATACGCTTTTGTCGGGATCAGGGGCGTTACGTCACACTTAAGCATATCTATCGTGTGGGAACATGTGTGTATGTCCGCACGTATGTACGTACGTATGTATGCATGCATGCATGTATGTATGTATGTATGTATAGGTCACCTATCAATGTGTACATGCTGCATTCTGTTTCCTTACGGCAGCCTGTAAGCTATGCCGCGAGGATTTCTGCTTCTATGTACTGGCGCTGCTCACGCTGTCTACTCTGTTTACGCGGAGCCCTCTCCGGCCCCACTAACGTATAATCCAAAACGAAGTATCTTCAATAATGAGAGCATTGATGGATATGGAGGCCTGGCTGGGCCGCGCCGGACAAGGCTGCTGCCAGACAACAAAAAACATTATGGAGGTAATAAGGAAGGGCTACTGCGGCAACGGCCATGGGTACGAGAGTTGGTGTCCTTCATTTCCGTGTACCATCTAGGCATGGATGGGCCTGGGCGGGTCTGGCCTGGCCTGGCCTGGCCTGGCCTGGGGTCTGCCTGGGGTTCTTGTCGTTCTGACGGGGGATGGACTGCCGCCGCTGGGGGATAGAACCCAATCCAGCGATTTCTTAATAGCTTCTGCTGCCGCGAGCACAGAGCGGGGATTTCATCTTGGAGTTATCTTTGTATTGGCTATGTAATACGCTCCACCTCACCGCGATGATCTGTTGAGGTTAGTAGAAGTGTATTGCCTGTCTCTCTAAGAGAACGAACTGTAGTAGATGCTTTGGCTGGAATGCGCCAGCACTGTGTGATTTTTGGTGGTTAGCCAGACCAGGAGTTGTGTTTGGCGTATGCGTGACCCCGCTACTGGAGCATCGGAGGCTGGGCCGGGGCGTAACTCTGATCGCGGGGTGACAGTCGACTGCAGTCGCGTTGCGGCATTATTGCGTTCCTGCGTCGCGTAAGCGGAGATTTGTAATACAAACATGCGGTTGGGGCCTGGGTGGCTCATGACTGCCCTGCAGCGGCAGACCTGTCGCGCGCGGCATACTGATGGTCATCTATTCGATTGTTTTGCTGCTTTTGTGCTCTGTTTTCCCCCGGGAAAGACGGGTGTGCGGTTCGAGGACGACACATGCCGTATGCGCTTTCGTTTCCGCCGTTGTTTCGCCTGGCTTGCTTTTTTGCTTGGGGCGCTTGTCACGCTCGGGTGGCGGCAGATGGTGGGCCACACACCGGATCGATGGGGGGCCACCGATGGGTCACCGATGAACTTGATGTGGCTTATTAGGGTATATACTTGCTTCATAAGAAGAAGATTTCCGTCGGACCGAGAGCGCTGATATGCTAATAGCAGCCGACATGCTTTTCACGGCTTGAATGAGAAATTATTATTACGATTCATTTCTTTATTAAAAAGGATTCCGGTCATCAATCGTGCGCCTTCTGGTATGTGAGAGGCGGACGGGCATTTGAATAACGACTGGCTTACATAAACGGATAGCAAGGAACAACGTCCTGACCGGTGCCTGGTGATGGATTCGGGCAGAATCACCGGCCAGCATTGCAAAACTACCACTTCATCCATCCATTTGACAATATGGCATTCAGCCGTGCTTATTACACCCGCGCCAAGCCTCCTCCCTTATTAGAAGGCACAACAATAACAAACGAAGCAAAACTACAGATGAGCGGCGGCACCGTAGGCTAGAGGATGCTAAGGCAGGCTTCCATGTTAGGCGCACGTCGACGAGCCTGCTGCTGCTGCTGCTGCAAACACACATCCAAATTGTTGGATCCAACTGGACTTCGGTTTCCCTCACCTGCCCAGTAACCACGTCATCTTTGGACAGAGTACTCCCTCCCACAATGTCACAGTTTGCATCAAGTCGTGGGCTTATGCATGCTATGTACGCATGTACGTAAACCCAACTGCTCAAATTCAGCAGGTCCAAATAAACAACACCCATACACGCCAAAACAGAGACACAACTCAAGGCAGAATTAAAACGTATGCAGCCTGTTGAGGCCGCTATCTGTGAGCCTGCCATCCGTTCATCATGCATACATAGGATCCATGTAATGGTGCCTCCGGCGATGCGGCATCATACATACAGACAGACAGACAGACCCCAGTGCCGCTATGTCTGGATTTAAAACACTTGTAATCGCCAGTGCAGCCGTACATATGGTCTATTGCCGCCAAACACATGGCTGTCAACCAAAACGCTTTTCCCGTGGTGGACCTGCTCACGCTCAACTGTGTTTGCTGGGTGGGAAGGGGGACTGCAGGGCGACCGCTGCTGCTGAAGAAGATGACGGCCCGGCAGTGTCCGAAGTATTCCACTGCTGCTGCTGGTCATTTACTGGATGGAACGTTGGACGAGAGCGAGTACGTACATGCGCGACCAAGTAATAAAAGGAGTAAAAGAGTTAATTAGCTGATTATAATAAGCAAGGCCAAAATAATATCGATGCGCAAAAAGGGATGACGAAAACGACATATATACGTTGAGATATCAATGCGTGTAAACCCCCCCGACCATTTAACGTACGTACATGCAACCATATGTGCATGTATGCATACAGGCGTACGTGATTTAAGCACGATACATGTCATTTAGACAATGCAGCGCAATGCTTGCTGCGTTTGCTGCGCACGGCAGCACTAAACCTAATTGTGACTTTGCGAAGAGCAGCAGGGTGCGCACCCTGGCCACGTGGCCATCAAGAGACCTAGGTCTTCGCCGCATATGCGTGCTGCTGCTGCGTCCCGTACACGTGTGTACATATATACGTACGTGCACGAACCTTATTACTATCTTGCCTTGGATTTTCCAGCGACTCCTGCCCTCTACCTGCCACGACACTCTGGCCGGCGGCAGCAGGTCCTTCGTTGGCAAAAGCCATAGGCGGCGGTGGCAGTGGTGGTGAAGTGTAGTATACAGGAGGAGGGGTACCATATACAGGCAAACCAACCATCGGAGTGACCAGGGGCTGCTGGGTATTGGATGGAGCCGCCACCACAGCCGGCGCGGATGGTTGTGGTGGGCTAGCGGGAACCCAGATCTCCATATTGTCTCTATGAACGATGTAGGCTTGTCCAGTCTGCGAAAGGCGATGAGTCGTGCGTAAATAAGTACGTGTATGTTTTCCCTTGCGTGCTCGTAGCACGAGCCACGTAGCGACGCAAATGTCTAATATATATTGTTGGGATCGCCGCCGTCTGCCGGCTGCAAGCAAGGCTGCTGCAGCAGTGGAAGCCTGTAGTAGCTGCCGTACACAGTACGGCACACGTATCAACTATAAATACGCGCAAAGCGCTCGACCAGCATCTCGGGAGGCCTTTTCAGCGGGAGGCCAGCTCCTACACAGCCTATTGGGGATATGAATAAACTAGCTAGTAAAGCTGCAAGCGAGGAGGACGACACAGCTCCCTGCTGGCAGGCTGGAGGAGAGGGGAAAGAGTACATTAAATGGTCAGGTCGTATGCAAGCATAAGCACTGAGCGAGCGAGCCTACATTCCTAACATAGGGAGCGAGGCGCCAAGCAACATACCTGCAGCATTTTGTACCTGCGCCACGTTACCATTACCGCGGTGACGACGCCTCCAATAAATAACAAAAGCACAATGGTAGCAGGAACGATAATTGAGACCTTTTTGCCGATAGATAAGCCGCCGCCGCCGCCGCCGCCAGGCGCTGCAATTACGGCGGCATAAAATACGGCAGCAAGTGGGCACTTGCAGAGTCCATATACTTATTGATATAACAGAAATGCAGGCATGCATGATGGCCTGTTTCACTACGGCAACGGGTGATCGCATTAACTCGTGTTACATATGGCGTCAAACTCGCGTTCACTTAAAGCTTCGTACCGCCAATTTAACGTGGTGTAACGCCATCACCCATTGTCACAGTGTCGAGTCGTTGTGATTACATGACAAAATGCGATCGCGAACCTCGCAGATAACATAGTAATAAGGGAACACTACCTAACTTACGCAAAACAAAAATGAAATAACGCCGTACGTACGTACTGCTTAGCCATCGACTGCAAGATATCTATTGGGCAAATGCGTGTGATGCTGCTACAGCTGCTACTGTACTTGTCCTTGCTTCAGACCTAGCTATGCGGTGTATGCGTGCAGCCCATCCATGAGCAGACGGCTGTGGATAGGTAAGGTGGATGCATGCATCCCAAGAAGTCAAAAGATGCAATTGAAGCAGCAGCTTTGCTTCGTCAGTTGTAAGAGGGGTTCTTCGAGATTGCATCCATCTATGCAGATATCGAGATTGCATCTATCGATATGTTCCATTCACTGTATGCAGCATTGACGGTCGCTGCGTGCACGCAGGAAGCGAAGGATTGATTTCTCATGTTTTTCCCAACGCACGCAAGCGAAGAGCGAATTCGTTAGCCCCACGTGTCGTACGATGCAGTGTACGTGCGTAAACAATAGTACCGCGCGGTTGCAACGCCCATCTTACACCGCCATTGATGCCTCGTCGTTCTCGCAACTTACTCGTCATTAAGAGCTCAGCCCACACCTCCACCTCCAGAACGCCCAATGCTGGCGGGGTTGTGGATGATGATGGCCCTGGTGTGAAGAATGACGGGAATGTCCCAATTTCACTCAGCGTGGGGCCGGGGCATTAACACTCATCATCCGCGTTTCAAACAAGTTGAAGAGCCAGCTACATCAAGGGCATCTCACTTACAAGCAAGTGGCTACGTATCCACATGACAAAACTGGAAGGGCGGCGAAGGGATCGAGGAGCTACTCACAATTCTTGGGGGCCTTATTCTGTAGTGTGACCCAGCGACCAAAAACAGGAGGTTTAAGCGCGATGGTGAAGATGGCTCCAATCGCGCTGTTTTTAACTGCTGCCGAACTGTTTTGCCGTTTCCACACCAGGGGGTTCGCATTCAGATCGTCGAACAAGGTTACGACTGAATTGTTGCCCACGCGGACCTCAGCGAACATCAGCTGCTCCGGACAGCAGTCCTTCCGGGCGTAAAGTGTGATGGCGTGGATGGCGAATGGGAGCCCCAGGTCGATCGACAACCAGTTCGACGTGTCAAGGGAGTCGGTAAAGAAAGGACCATCTTCCAATGTTTTGCCCCCATCCACAGCCATAGAGGTCTGTGATTCTTCTGAGAAACTTGACGCGAATGTGGGTTGGAGCCAGGCCTTGTTGCTTATCGCCTCTGTGATGCAGCAGTGACCGCGATGGCGTAGTAACAAAAATAAGCGTAAGGGCAAATGTAATAGTGGTCAATGCAGCAACAGCAAAACATACCGGTGTTCGGACTGTGCTCTGCCGTTGTCCTGTTGCTGGCCTTTTTATTACACAGCACGCAGCACATAGGGTGATCTATTACCTACTGACTGACTACCCAGCGAAGATCGCCGGCTGGCAGTCCAGCATGTCCAGCAGCACTGCAGAAGTCTTTGCTGGATCACAGGAATCTACCCATGCGCACATGCACCAGATGCATGATCGCGTTTGTATGTATGTCGCAGTGTATCTTCCTGCAGGATGTTAAGGTGCAAACTACCAGCACTTGCTCGCCACACCCCTTCATACGTATTATGCAGTGCATGCTACCTGGCTTCGTTATTAGATCATGCGTGCTACCTGGCGCGTGCACGGTAGCCTCCCAAGTGTATTTCGTTGTCTGGCGCGTAATGGTCATCAGCACGTCATCGACCCACGCAAGGGCACATCATACACACATGTGTGTTTGTATGTGTGTGTGTGTGCGTGTATGTGCGTGTATGAGCGTGCGTGCGTGTGTCTGCGTGTGTGTGTGTGTGCGTGTGTGTGCGTGTGTGTGTGTGTGCGTGTGCGTGTATGTGCGTGCGTGTGTGTGTATGTGTGTCACCTGCTCAGGACAGCGCTTGTCGGCTCGGCCTGCCGTGATGTGCGTGTGAAGGGGTGGCCAGGCCTTCAAGGGTTATTGAGTTGTGGTCTGGGAGGTAGAAAAGGTTATCACGGCATTGGACAGCAGCTGCTGCAGCAAGCATTTTCAGGTGCTGGTTAAGCTCTGATTGGTGAAAGAGTATCACCGTTCTTTTGTTACTTGTCATCGTTGCGTTTTTGAAATTTTGGCCTGTGGTTGTTTTGGTTACCCTGATAAATCGCCTTCACCGCGATACCTGGATATCGCGCACGCAGTGGCTTTCAGTCCCGGAGGCCACTTGTTTCAGACCCAGCAGGTTGCTTTCTGCAAGACGCGGAATCGCTGTGGTAGTGTTTTGTGCGCCACGGACACCTGCTCCGTTACTGCTCCATTCAGCTGAAGGCACGGTACAGCTGTATTGACACCGGTTAGTATGGCTCAGCCTCAAACTCCGGATCGTTTGGGACAAGAGCACATACAGAACCCCGCTGGCGCTAAATCGACTGCGCGACGAAACGCTGCTGCTGCTGCGTGCCCGCGACACTTCATCAGCAGCCCATTATCGGCCTTCCTTCCGCGCGTACCTTGCCCATACGCGTTATACACCAAGGACGAGACGAGGAACCACATCGCCAGCAGGACCGAAGACCGGCGGGCACCTTCGGGGCATCCTTCGCGGGTAGTCGACGCACAGTAGGTCTTCCCACGTATGAAGCTTGATAGGCTTTTGCTGCACTTACCAGCCATGCTGCCCGTAGAGGAGAACCGACCGCTTACCTACCGGAGGGTTGTGTGAATAGCGTAGCTAACAGCGTAACAACTCAACAAAGAATAATACATAATCTGTTCATGTTTCATAAGCCCCTGAAGTTGAAAGTGGATTTCGCCAGGAACCGGCTTATGCTCAAGCGACAATTTCTCACGATCATCGAATCAACTCAATCCCGCAAAGTAGCAATTAAGCCTTCAAATTAATTGCAACCTTTTACTTCTAAATACATGTATCCTGAAATCAAGTAGACGCCGTGCCGATGTTTCCTTCACTAGCTGCCGCTGCTGCTGCCGCTGCTGCTGCTGCTGCAGCTGCTGCTGCCAGCAGCAGTGCTGCTGGGAATTGGTCTTCATGCCACTGCAAACGGTCAAATGTATGAAGCGAGATTGTGATAAACATAATCAGTCGAAACGAGAATTGGCCAGGAACGTCTAATTCAATCTAAAGTACAAGCGTTGACCTTTTCCTCTGTCCTCTTCTGCTGTCCTCATACATCTGTGATGAAAAGATGAGGTTTAGGGCGGTTTTGAGAGCAAACCTCCTTGCCCGTTGCCGGGCGCCATATGGGAAGTACTTTCCTCTTTACGTTATTGCGGCAACACGTATCCATTTACATAGGTATATACATAGATATATGTACATGTCGCTGTAGGGCGTATTGCAAAATCAAAGATAGGGACTTGCAGTAAAAGACAACTACAGCCTTCCGCCAGCTGGAGAGCTGGTTCGTGGCGAACCGTTCGCCACAGCGGCATTGCGGCAGACCTCCTCCTTCCCGCCCATTCCTGACAAGCACTACATAAATCTACATGATAAGTAGATGCATGTGTAGAGACCTTTCAAACCTTTCAAAAAAGTCATGCATGCAGCAGGGCGCCGTAGAGATGAACGGGCAGGACGTTCACGCGAACCGCCATAAAATAAATACACTTCCAGCAAGCTCATCGTTGTGGGACAAAATATAAAATACAGAAAGGTAATGACGACAGCCGTTGTATGCGCCTTACTTGGGCCTTGGGTTTATCCAGCAATAATCCTGGCTGTGCTTTCGTAGACAAAAGCAGCTTTCATTAACTGTTCGGCAGGATTTTAAAAAACGAACAAAAGATGATAGACACGAGTCTTTTTCAAGCTTTTGCTAGACAGTCAAGCTTTTGCTAGACACGGTTAAAGACTCTCTACCGTTCCCAACAAGCGAGCAGCAGGCTCTCTCCGTGCAATCCTATTTCACAACCCCACTGGCTATTGTGTGATAGTGCAAAAGGAAGATACCACCATGTAAATCGCAATATATATCCCCAACATAAAAAAAGATATCCAAAGAATGCGCCGTAGTGTGCGGCTCGTGGATGCCTAGCTAGGATTTCATTTGTCTACGGTGCCATCCGTCGAGGCGGCTGCAACCTCCACACCATCCACACGCATCCACACCAATGCAAGCAGTCAGGTGGATGTTAGAAATTACCTCCTCCTCAGAAACCACGTCATTCCTGATGACAAAACAATCCCATTCAGCGCACCATCGTGTTTCAAGCTGGCAGTGGCATCTGCCCCAAGTCGTGGGTTTATAATGCATCAAGTACCCAACCGCTTTAAGTCGCAGGTCAAACAGTAAGCACACGCCACAATTGAGGCACATCATTAAGGCTACATTAAAAAAATGCATAGTAGTCTGCTGAGGCCTGCTATCCGCTCCTACGTAGGGTGCCCTGTTGTGCGCAGGGAAGCATCGCCTACGCACAGACAGACAAACAGACAAACCCAGTGCCGCTATCTATTCACGGGTTACACCCTTCCCTGTAAGAAAAGGACTTGCGAGCTAATGGCACAAGCCAGCAGCATCATTCAGGATATGTTTCAGGATATGTACCTAGGATACTACAGTATATACGCATTTGCATCCATGAGTTTTCGCCTTTTCATTTGAAGCACAGGCGCACGTGTACGTGCACATGCATATGCACGTAAGCATAGGGTCCACAGTGAGCAGGGCGGGCACTAGCAGCTGCAGCGCCTCATTTGGCAAGATGACCGCTGCGCATATCTTGAATCAAGCCGCCAGCCTGCCACGCAATGCCTGCTTAGACCAACCGATGTACACTTCATTTAGATTGCGCCGCCAATGCATGCCGTACCCATCTATCTACCACATCTGGAGCTACTGATGAGTATTCAGCATGACAGAACTACCGGACGAGCGGGGAATGTAAGCTACTATGATTGCCGCCTCTCGCAGTATAATCCAAACAATAACGTGAAGCAAACATCCAGACCACAAGACCCTACCTTGCTAGCACTACGCACTACAACGACGATGCACGTCACAACTTATCCCCATCGATAGAGCTTACAGCTCATACATTACCTACTCGTCTGGAGATTTCTAAAAAGTAAGAGAATTATCACGAACGGAGTACGTAGGATGCCCTCTTCACCTCTCGCCCTCTGTGCCGTTTGTATGTCTGAGAGGTCCGAGAGTGCCTGCTGTCTATGGCTGCCGAAAGGGAGTTTAAACCGGAACATATGTCTACGCAAACTAACAAATCGTAGTCACATAAAAACACGATATTACATAAACGCGACCAAACGTATGCAGACAGACGGGCACACAGACAGACACACAGACAGACACACAAAGACGAACACGAAGGCAAGCGTTTTCCGGTAGGCGCTCATCGTGAGGAACCCATAGCAAAGGAACGCTTCCAAACAATCAGATAACATGTACCAATCAGGGATGCGCAGCAAATGCCAAGCTGCTGACACGAAATGTACGGAGTTACGAATGCGAAAAAGAACGTCTTTATTTATCGTGCTCCTTCATCCGCGCAACGTGGTGCTCTACGTTGTGCCGACATCCACCTGTGATCCCCGCCAGCGTCGATACCGAACTGTCTCGTACTTGTGCGAATGGCAGATCCGCACGGCCATCAGGGGGACCAGCACTCACCAGCCATCAGAGATGCACACAGGTACAACCTTACTCGTGATGCAGTTACTTCAAAACCAACTATGTCTTCCTAATGCACTGGGAGCACTCGTCATGCGGCACTCCCGCGCATTTCCTACATCGTTTTTGTATGTACCCTGACGATTACGTAGAATCTGCTTGCTGGCCAATTATCAATGACAGTAAAGGATCGGGCCCCACTTCCGAAGCCCCGGAGTTTCCCGGACAGCTGATTGCCTGTTTAGGTGCATACGGCATTGCCGCTATCGGATCTGAGCTGATTGGCTAATCAGGACACTCGCGGGTGGCATGTCAGAAGCCGCACGAGCTGCGGAACCTGCTGCAGCACCAAGAAGCCCCGCGCGCTACCCGCGCGCAACTGGAGTGCTGGAGTGCGCTTGCACCGCCAGCTGCTGCGATAGCAGTGGCAGCAGCCCGCCCCTATGGTAAAGCGCCACGGTATTGCGTGCCGCCTAAGGAGGCGGCAGCGGCAGCAGGAGTTCAATCTTCGACGGCGCGCGACGAATCCGCTTCGCTCTGAACCTGCGACATCTCAGTCAGGCCGCCATGGTGCCATGCCTTTAGAGTTGGTCCGCCTTGCTGCCGTCGGTGGCGCTACAATCGACAATCACGCTTGGGCCAGCCGCCGACGGCAGGACGGGAGCAGGAAGGGGCTGCGGCTGTTGTGACCACGGCGAGACGGAGGCTGGGCCATGTTGATAATGTTGGTGATAATCCTGACCACGGCAAGGGCAAGCAGCGGAGCAACGGGGTACGGCTTTTGCACTTCGGTTACGATACCACCTGGCAAGGTGGCACCTGGCGAGCTTTAAGCACATGGCTAACGGTGCTAGTGCCTTAAGGCTAAGACTAGTGCTAACAGTAGTATGCGCAGGGTTACTCTGGCCCATACGCGCGCCGTCGGGCAAAGCGGATCACCGGGCTGCACAGCATACATCCATGCCATGACATGTGGACGGGTTAATAAGGAGAATTATTCCTAGCGTTCAGGCAGTCACAAAGCAGACAGACCGGGACACGCGCTTGCGACACTTCTTTGCCACCACCGCACCCTTAACGCGACAAAAAACAGCTTAGCATCTAAAACGACAAACGAATACGTGCATACCTGCTGCAACCTTTCTGGAGCTGTTTGAAAAGGCTGCTGCCATTCTGCTGCCATAGAGGGATCCTGATAAGGGGAAGTTGTGCTGACCGCAGCTGGAGGAATGAGGGCGAGTTCGACACCCCCGGCATCGCCGCTCCTATAGGAAGGTTGCCAGGGCCAAGGCCGTCGGAAGGTGTCAGGGAGCCCGTCAGACCTACCTCCCGCCAGCAGCACCTGCGGTGTGCCGGCCATCTAGCCGTGCAGTGACGCACACATGCCGCAACTAGTCGTTACATGTTTAGTTAGCAGCACATACAGCGATACAGGTGCTGAGGAAATATAAAATTACAGTTCCTTCCGAGCAAAGGAACTGTAATCATCAACATCAGCTCGCAATGGAAGGAGGCCGGAAATAAGTGCGCTCTCAGGATTTATAGTATATGCGAACGAGTCGGCCGCGGCAATGCGGAGCTAATAGTGCCGGTGCAGTGGACTCTATTCCTTGCCGTTTTGCTATTTGATTACCGAGAGTTGCGTAATTGGCTAGGATTTACTTGACGCGAAGCTCTGAAGATCTGATGCCGCGAGGCGTGACATACTTCTATGCTCCGCCACTTCGCTCTGCACCATTAAACGCTTCCGACCCGGATTTTATGGCGTCAAGTGGACGAAATGTGGCATACATACGTAGGAGGGGGATCCATGGTGAAGATTCTTTCGTGTTGAAAATCATCCGTACTTTCCCCGAAAATAACGCAGGGTAATGTATGCAGCGGGACCCTTGAGTCATTATACTACCATTCTGCATATGTTGCTCTACTAGCAGCACTCGTCGTCGTAGTAGTGGTAATACTACTATTACCACTACTACTACTACTACTACTACTACTACTACTACTACTACTACTACTACTACTACTACTACTACTACTACTACTACTACTACTACTACTACTACTACTACTACTACTACTATTATTACGACTATTACTACTACTACTACTACTACACTACTATACTACTACTGCTATACTACTACTACTACTATACTACTGTGGTACGTGATATACATGTGCAAGGACGCGACAGCGCATGTCTGCAGCTTAGCGCAGGTAATTAATATCCGCGAGGAGCCAGGCAAAGCATACCATCCAACAATCCAATGCAGCCGCAGGCCTAATTGCTAGATTAGCTACCCACCGGTGGCGACGGTGGTGGCTTCATGAAGCGCCTGCAGACGCAGATGGCAAACAGGCAAACCCCGGCACCGAATGCGACGCTGAAGATGACAATGGGGATGATTACAAGGCTGCGGACGCCGCCGCTGCCGATGCCATCGCCGCCATCGCCATTGGCATAATGCGTCGCCTCTACCGAGACCGGAACCGGCGGTAGCAAAAACAGCGGCGCCGGCACCGGGGCCGCCCCTGCATTTTCACGCCAGTGTACGGGCTGACCGATCTGCCAACAGCCGACGACCGCATGCTGGTTTTACGCAGCTAAGACCAGCAGGCGTTTTGCTGAGATCACACGTAATGAAAAATCAAAGGTACATCGTTCATATGTTCCTATCCCGCCATTCCATAATAAATCCACTTTCACTTTGATTTTAGAAAGTGGTTGGATGAGTCCTCAGCGGAAGCTTTTGTACAAAATACTCATATGCAAAGTAGCTTCGGTTCTACTATCAGAGAAATACATTTTTACATGTAACACGAGCGCCGGCCTGAAGCTACGTGCAAGTAAGGGAACGTTGTTGCGTTCAGGAAAACAAATAGTACGACGTGCGTGGGTGCGTACGGCTGATAATGGCGGGCGTGGGAAGTAGAATGGTCAATCCAGGTGACATCTAGTGAACTCTATTGGGGGGCTTCATTTGCCTGGTGCCTCTTCCAAAGAGCATGACCCTCGCTCCAGCCTGATGTGATGTGGGATTTTCGCCACGCAGAAACGCAATTTTACAGGGCCCTCATTTCCAAGACCAACCGCTCCAACCGCTTTACCGTGCCAGCGGCTATTATAGGGAAGTGTGTGAATCAACACTGCTCAGTCCAAAAGCAACGTCCCGCTTGTGCAAGGCAGCTACGATGCCCAACTACGGCGCCGAAACTTAGAGATAAAAGGTGCACAAAGGTGCACAAATAACGCGCGTACCATTGTTACCTGGGGATGGCGGGGCTGGCGATCTGGCGGGGCGAGCAAGTCCCTGGCAAAAGCCCCAATAGGAGCATACGCGGAGCCCGTCACAATCACAGTTATTGTTGCTGGTGCTGCAGCGGCTTGCACCCTGGGGGTTGCTGGATTCGTCGTGAAAATGGTCTTCAGAGTAGCATCCTGTGTATGTTCCAAAATCCGAGAGCGCGATGGAAATAGAGCGGCACAGGCATGATTACGGAAGCGCGGGAAAAGTGCGCGCGCGGTAAGCCGATCGACAGCCTATGTGGTATCTCGCACATAAACGGCTGGCTGAACAGCAGGTTGATTATAAAAGTTTTGATGACCGCATGTGCGGCTCTGTGCTAGATCTTCCGGAAGGTAAATTGCATGCACGGCGACCAACGATAGCGAGCGAAGCTCGTCATCATATCTTATATCGTCATTGTCATATCGGCGCGGCAACAGCAAACCGCATCAACTCAATCGACAGGCTTCAAGCTTCTCACCTTGACCTTGATGGCTTAGCAGTGCCAGCAAAGCTGCGAGTAGCCAGGGTCTCCAGCAGGAACGGACGCCAAGCGCGGTTGTCATGCTGCGCTACATGACATCAGCATATGGAAACGAGATAAAATATGAAGAACCATTTTAATGGAAATCCCGGATGCACTAAATGGCAACGACGGACCCCAGTTTCGCACGAGAAGACCAGGAGGCTGGCAGCTCAAAAACATAATAACGGAATCGGAGTTAAACTTAAAAACCTAGGCGAGGACATTGGAAATGTGCCAAACGTACGGGACTGTGTTGTGCCTGTTTGCCGTCAGCAGCAAGTGGGGGCGATACAGTGCGATCTGAAGCGCCACTGCTGTATGCCGCAAAAATGACTCAGAAATGAAAGAAAATTTCCAAATCGACCTACGCTAAAGCATGGTGTATCACTCAAAGGGTGGCGAACGTCTGTGTTAAGCCAGCACTATGGCATAGCTCACCTACAGAAAGGATCGGAGCAATTGTCTCGGGAATCGGCCACATTAATTTATTCATATACATTAAACCATATACCGGAAGATTTTCCTGGATTCTCAGTGAGATTGCATTGTATGGGTCCACTAGACGCTACCGCATGTTGAGATCTTACCAAGAATTCATCCGGATGCCGTGTCCTAATACGCACATGGTTAACACAGAAAACATAAGGAATTAATGGCGTGACTGATTAGGCGCAAGTATTTCCGTACAGATACTGAGGGAACGGGCAAATATCCGACGCAAATAATAAAGTCGATGAAACTTGAGAAAGAACCTCAATACTTAAACAGAATAAAGTTTTAGCTCCATAAGTACTTCGCCAACCGCGCCTCACGGCATGAGCTGCTACGTACTGTCTGCGGATAGATGGCCGTTATTGGAAAATGCGCGTTACGGACTCTCCACATTTGCCATGAAACCCTCGTGCAATTGCATGAAATCTTAAACATCTTTGTTCCACAGTTGGCTGAAGGATACAATATCTGTCATGGACTGCCGTTGAGATCATGGGTTGGCAGGAAAGCGAGCAGCACGAACTGCCTTCCATCGCAGGCCACCTTCCGCTATGGAGGACCAGAACGTAGATTTATCAGAAATTTATCTTATTATCACGCATATGCGGGAAATCACGGCCGCTGGAAAACGCCGCATGTAGCCACAGCGTTTTATTTGCACATCAATCATAGGCGAACATGACAGCAACTCGTCACAGCCACAGCCGCCATTGTCACAGCCGAGCCGGGCCATAGCATGGCAACTCGTAGTGACGACAACTAGAACATTTAGCACGAGCACGAGCTTCCTACGTAGGACGGGTGTGGGCAATTTGTGATTAATCTCTCTGGTTTACAAAACCTAACTAATGAGGCACCAGCTTAACAATCGATGACTCGTCTATGAAACATTTTTGATCGTCTATAGATCTTGCCCTGGTATATTCGATAAGGACTGTCTTGTTGCTATCATAGGTGCAATCAATAATAGGCAATCAAGGATTTTACAGACGACCCCTGATGCGTGGCACCCGATCGGCCGTGGTGGCAGCCTTGCGGCTAGAACCCGGCGATTCACCATTACCTTCAGGATGCTGCGCCAACCTGATGCCAACTGAATTGCCAGGCGCACATGCAGCCATGCAGGCGCTTGCGCGAACCGATGGGAATTCGATCTTTGACCGCAAATTAGAGATGCGCCCTTCTTCCAAAGCAAGCCGCGTCATCGTCCCTCGATGTGGAACGGGTTGCGGCAACGGTTGGGCCCGCATGTCGACACGACCTCATGCATGGTCATGAGCATGGGCTCTTTCCATCCCACCACGCAGTCGTCCCACACCCGCAGAAGCAGCCGCAGGGCACACGCACAAACTCCCCACCCAGCACTGCACAGTGCCTGCGGGTCGCCCCGCCTTAAGAAACGGCACGGCGACTGTCGCGCAAGCTAAGACGGATTGGGCATATGCATAGATGCTATTGGATTTATTTAATTTCCCTCAACCGGGACACAAGAATGCTCTACCCAAACACCTAGCACCAAAGAAACGGAAAAAAGCACCATACTAAGTAATCTCACGCTGCTTTTTCACGTGTAATAACAATGTCACATTAGCTAGGCTGGTAGACCTCACAGTTTTAAACTTGCTTGCTAACATAGACAATGTTAAGTCTTAACTTAAGACAGTGTATGCACCTTGCTAGTCTCCGCGATATAAGTATTACCCTAGTATCCGCAAATTTTCTTGTGACTGCTTGCACAGTCTACTCAGGGGGTCTGTTTATGTCTGTTGGACGGTCGGAATTTAGCAATTCTCCGCAGCAGGCTACCGTTGTAGGGTGCGGAAGCATAGCTGTGGGGGCGAGACTCACTGCAAACGAAAGATCATCCAAAATCTTGATGGGAATGCCGTGGGCAAGAGCACATAACTTCCTGTAACGGCTTGACGCTCGCGGCAGGCGCCGTTTTGTACGACAAGGCAAGTAGCGGCTCGACCGTCAGCAGGAAGCGCATATCAACAGTAAAATGACGAAGGAAACCATTAAGAAGGAAACTGTCTTGTAGCTGAACGTTAATGATATCCAACAAGAGGCCGTCGTGCAGTTTGAATGGCCTAATGACGCGATGATTCGACAATTTCGTGACAACACGGGGCCCCAGTGAATAGTAGCGCGTTCCTGCTCATTGCCGTCTCTCTACGTGAGACGTACACAATACTGTACACAACAACAGCTCACGTCCAGCAGCAAGGCCAGCCCAGACAGGCATCTACCGTCCCATTTTGATATTTAGCTAGCTGGCACAGCGAAAGCAACATCTCCCTGAAACGGCAATCCAATACCCTGAAACAGCACAATAATTTAAGCCCAATATCTTTGTAGAACCTTCAACCCCTGTAGCCACAGCACCAGGGCTGGGCTGCGTACCTTCGTGCAAATTCGTATTTGTGCGTGCCGAGCATGTACATGCCGCAACCAAAGTAAAACAGTGCCTTGACGAATCGTGCAACAGTGAGGTACGGAAGGACATTGTGTAGCATCTCCTAAGGGTCAACCTAAGCACCACTTGGCATTCCCACGAAAATAAAGTACGACAAGCTAATTAGGCACTTTGAAGGCCGAGACTGGCCGAATTTGGCCTTGGCTTGTTTGGGCAGCGGCAAGATAGAGCGAGCCAATCTTTGCGATTCACAGGCATTTTTGTACGAGCCGAAGGTGATCCAGCCATATGGTGACTGCCCTGATGACGATGTTATAGTGGTTCGGACGGGACACCACTGGTGGATCTGGATCATGATGCGGCACGAAAGAGAGCTTTACCTCGCATTCCAGCCCGACCAGGCCATTGCGTATTACTAACCACGCACGACAGCCATTCCCAGCCATTCCAAGCAATCGCTGGGATCCAACCCTTACTCGCATCAGGTTCCTACCAAACAAGGCGACTGTTAAATGAATCCTGTCATACACAGCAGATAGATACGAAAGGATCATCGGTGTATGGTCATGTTGTATATGGCCGCCCCCCGCACTGATGCGTTTGTTCGCTGTGCGAGTACAAGCACTGACCAAAGCCATGCGTCTGCCCAGTAATACGGAGGGGATTCCTTCCGCCTTGGATACGGGCGACCTGGCACCGAGGGGAATAAACAAGAAGTAGGTTTTACTGGCAGTAATGACCTATTGCAATACTCCTATCCCCTCCGCAGCAGAACCTATGGAGTACAGTCACCTTACCAACCCTTATCCTCCTTACTGTTGTTACTCCTCGCACGAGCAAGAAATTGAGCCATGCATTCAACAGTTGCCTGCAATTGGAGACTTCAGCGCAAGCCGCAGAACCCAACAATGTAGTGGCCAGCGGCCGATTACGTGTGAGAATTCCATACATCATGCTTTACAGCAGGAACGCTTCAATACTGGGCCGAGGTTCACCACCTACCACACCACATCACAGCTCAGTACCACCACATCACATCACGGCCCCGCACTGTCTAGCTATCCCACTAACCGCTGTGCTAAGGAAAGTAAGGAGGCGAGGACAGGATGAACGCCTGCCAGGCATAGGCCGATTAGCCGTAATGGTCACCGTAAAGGCTCACAATTTCGCTACCAAGCCCTGATGAATCCCCCTCGGGAACACTACGCATTGCCGACATAAATGAACGAATATTTTCATGTACTAGAGGCAGGGGCAGTGGTGGGCAGCCTACGCGTTTGCTAACCTTAAAGCACGCATGCAGCCCCTGATATGAGCATTTATTCGGACCATTGCAGACCTCAAAAGCTCGCCTGCATCTTCGCCGTCCAGGTCAAGGCTATGAGGGCCCACGACATCCCAGTGCCTGTTCGTGCCACCTACACACCGGTGCCAGAGGTAAATTACACATAGTACGTATGTAACGGAGGTGGCACACCCATTGCCTAAGCAATAGTCGGGCAGGAAAGGTCCCTGCCTTCCTGGTCAGTGCGGGTGTACCTGCTCCTGAGGGCAAGGATTTAGTGCACACTATGCCGCCGTTAGACTGCCTATTTGTGATATTTTGAAAGTGGCTTGATGAGAGAAGGACGTGCATTCGCTTTATGTTATATCCGTGGGATGCGGTTATTAGCGCCGTAAAGTTATTCCAGGCCCGCCCCCCACCCTGGCAAAATATTTTCCTGATGTGACGCATGCATTGGATGCTTTGCCATTTGACGACGCGAACCTGGTCTGATTCACTTGGGCTAAATGGCTAAATGTAAGGCTGATGCGCGTCACAGCGGTATGCATTGAAATACACAGCAAGCCGCTGAATTTGCAACCCTGAACGAACATCCGTTCGCCTGCCTGAGTCTAACGACCAACGTACTGTGACAGCCCCACAGTAGGCATTGCTGCCTTCGCTTAACACGCACTCCATACAACGCCTTCGATGCCACGGGCTGGCTTCCAGGTGAAACCTGTTGTCCACCCACAACACAGTAGGGCCTCTACCTCGGTCCATGAGCAGAAGCACGGCTGGTGACAACCCATTACACACCTTGAAATGCCACGGCGGTTGGCACCAGCCATCTTTTTAAATGCCTTAGTATCGCAGGCCCTTCTCAGACAGCCATCATGCGGCGGCGTTAAAACAGCAGTCATCGCTCGCGTACGGTTCTGTTGTCAAGTCCCCAAAGACAGATAGGGGCTTTCCATGTGTGAACTCATAGTCTCAAGGTCAGGAGTTATGGACCCAGCGACAGCCATGATCCCATGAATTCCGAATGCAGGTATCTGTTCGTGTGGTCCAAACCACACACAGAGATCAATCCGTGTGGATGGTACGGACGTATCTGCCTCAGGAAATGCTGTGGCAGCTATCATTCTCCAGTAGGACCGCTCGAAATGTTCCTTTCTCGCTCACAACGAACCACCTCACCCAAAGGCCGCGCGCGCGCATCTGATTAAGACTCGCAGTGCGCTCGACACGCTTTTTTAACCATTTCTAGTAAACAAAAATCGTGCGCTCGACCTCTCCATACCCCACGCAGCCCAAGCTTTACCCCGCTGCTGTCAAAAACAGACAGCACAGCGCAGCATCGCCCGTTGCTATCAGAAAAAACGATCGTTAGCAGAGAGAAGGCGCATACCACGACTGTGTGGCTTGAACCGCTATCAAACGCCGAAGGCTCATCGCCGTCGTGCAGGTGTTCGCCATGTCAAAATGTAGCTGCCATACGCATGTCTGAACGATCTGTTGCGTATGTATTGTTTGCTTGAACCTCCCAGGCACCAAAACGCTAATGCATGTACTGCAGTGGGCCGTACGTGTGCGCATGATAAGCTCCAGTAACCCTACAAGCGCGCCCATTCCTTGGATTGCCTCCCAAACCCACGCACACCACCCACATGTCATCCACCTCACAAACTGCGAAGGTACTAAATCGCTCAAACAACACTTAAGCCACCACGACTTGCGCCTCGACCTGTAGCGCCCGGCGAAGAAGACCCTTTTTCGATGAAGGGGGTGGCGACAGTGGCGACAGCCGGCTGAGCGCCTCCTTCAGCGCCGGGAAGGCCTTGTCGCCAGTGCTGCACTGCGACTGAAGCTGCTTGTACCGGCCGATCGCACCCGGCAGGTCATTGAGCTTGTTTGACGTGCGTGCAAGGCCCAGCAGGCATTGCATGCGGCCTGGCAGCTCGTTCAGGCAACGCAAGAAAAGGTCCCGGGCGGTAGTGGCATTGCCGTTGGTGGCGACGAGTAGGTTGCCGTAGAACTCGGGAGTGGGGGCGATCTTGAGCGACGGCAGCGTGGTCGAGTCTGATAACATGGGGCGCACCATATGCAAGGTAAAGACGAATCACAATCAAGGAATCGGAAAGACAGGTTTTAGGGGATCTCCGGGAATTTCGCTATTTGAAATAGGCGCCCGTTGGTGGCTTTCTGAGCGGCGTCGTTACTTCGTGAAGTGACGGAAAGACGCGTTGTCGTCTATGCGTGCAACCTGACGCGCCTCATTCCCTTCCCAACACTACGTGGACCCCGGAGGACGAAAAATGGCAGTGGTGCTTCCTTAAATGCCATGCCTGCTGCTAACCTAACCTAATTACTTGCACGCGAACACATGCCAACCCCCACGTACTCGAGATGGACGTATGGCGAGCGAGAGCGTCGTCCATGAGCGCCATCCAGGACGTAACGTTGCAGGCCGGCAGGCCTGCCGCGCATGCAGAAGCACCGACAAGCGCCTTGGCCTGGCAAGGCGGAGGGCAGGGTCCAAGAAGCCAGGAAACCGAAATGTCAGGGTTAAGAACATTGGAGGAATAAGTGCAGTGCATTTATGGCCATGCGCCCAGTGGACACAGCCCATTATCCAGCTGCAGCTGGATTAGTGACACGTATGGCAACGGCAACCTTCCTACACGTCTTTTCCTTGCTGATGCCGCTTTCCACTTTCCAACGCCACCTCACTGCCACGGGGCACTGCCGCAAAAGAGGCACGAGCGACAAAACGCTTTGGTGGTGACTTGCACCCCAACACCCCATAGTCCCATGTTGGCATGGCCGGGAACACCGGCCCTTAAACACTGCTCTCTCCTCTTTCTTCCCTGACAAGCCCCTCCGGCATAACTGATAATTGACGCCCATATACCTGCAGCTGCACAATGGTCAGCTGGGTCAGCATATCCCTATTCAGTGACGAGGCAGAAGAGTTGACGAGGTTGCTTTGCGCCGATGCAATCGTGTCCAGGCGCGCCAGCAACAGGTTGACCGTCGTGACCACGGTCGGGTTCTGCAGACGCGCCGAATCGCTGCCGTAGGTCAGCGAGAAGACGCGCGCCAGAAGCGCGTGAGCCTCCGCATGGGGAGGCCAGAAGTGATCCTGCGGACGACATGACCGTAAGTCGCATTATAGCGTTTTCATTATTATCAGGGTGAAAGGCACATGTAAAGCAGGCGGGCGCTACCGCTATGCAGACACAGGGAAGGGCAAGAATTGGGGCAGAATAGCAGACCTTGTGCTGGGATGATACTTGACGTGCACACGTTAGCTGTTAAATGGTAGTGCAATCACATATGTTAACAAGATCATGCGCCCACGCGAGGAGGTAAGGTCAATTTACCCTTTGCCACCCACCATGATGTCCGCAGCGTTCTGGACAGCCCCGGTATCGTACAGCGGCGGCGGCAGCATCGCTGTGTCGTTGTCGGTCGAGTTCCTGAGCGGAATGATGCCCATTGAGTTGAGGGATTGCAGCTGCATGTGCGCATAGCTGCGATAGAGCCACTGCACATAGTCGCCCGTGTAGTTCATGGAGGCAGCTACACCCTGGTGAAGGGGAAAGAGTGCGGATGTACGACAGATGGCAAGGCAGGGAATGCGAAAGTTAAATGATTGAAGGTAAGGCATCAGGCGGTAAGCTCGAGTCTCAACACAAAAGTCGCAGAAGCAAGTGATCCGATAATGATAGGTGGGGGTGGGTTAACCAGCACAGACAAATGCCCGGGGCCATGTCTGAAGCAAGCCGGCTTGCCTTTTAGCCTGTCCTAGTCCTCCGGTTCCGGCAGGACACGTGTCAACATGTCTTAGCATCTAGCGGGCCCCCATTGACATGACTTGACAATAAGCGGTGACCCAGTTGTTCAAAATCTACAGCAGCAAGCCCACTCCCCTTATTTACTGGGACGCCATGAAGTGTCTTGTCTATCCGTCCACCCATAGCTATCTGTCATCCACCCTAGACGTGTCTTCCACACCTGTATCCGCAAATAGCTCGTATAAGCCGCCGTAACACCACACTGCTGCAACTGGCCAAACAACTGCCACTCCAGTGCGTGCCAGCGGTTATCAGCATCGCAGTCGTTGCCTTTGCTCACCGCCTTGCAATACGAGTCCGAGGCACTGACGGCGGCCTGTACAACAATTTCCGGCGCGACGGCTGTTAGATATCAAATTTTGGAGTGGAAACGCACCCAGCCGCAAAACTTCCGAAGGGCAGAACCAGATGCCTCCGCGCCGGAGGGCCCGTTCTCACTTCACACGCGCAATTTAGCATGGACAGTCAGTCTCGCAGGTGACTACATCGTGGTGGTGAACAGGGCAGGTATCACGAACATGGTCAGGGCATTATGCATACACATTGGCCGCGCGGAATTTAATAAGGAGGGCGTTACTTAAATGCTCGCAAATCATATCCAGAGCATCCCGGAAGTTACGTGTGCGCACCTGGTTATACAGTACCACCTGGGTCCAGTTGCCGGAGCGAAGGAAGAAGTGGCTAGCCATGTGCTGCGCAACGTTGGACTTGGGGGCGAGTGCGGCCAATTTCAGGGCCGCAGGCACGCCTGCAAGTTTGAATTCACAGAGAAGGCGGGCCAGCCCGGGTAAAACACGTGCTAAGGCCAGCAAGAGCGGAAGTCAGACAACCCGTCTATGGTACACATGGAACCAACTCCATAGATTATTTCAGCATGTTCTAATAACACACGTCTTGTCAGTTAATCCGTATTGCGCACACAGCCAGGCCGTTTTATATTTTGATGACCGCGATGCTCCCAATGCAATGAAGTCACCCGCACAAGGCTATGTGGTGTTCCTGTTGAGATGCTACTCTACAACCCACGCGAGCATCCCCACGGATACTCCACGTTTTCGATTCCCGCATTCCCGCCGACAACCTCAGGAGACCCTAGGAACCCCGCGCACCTTGACTTGCCATGTCCGGCTCATCCTCGTCGTACACATGGGTCAGGTAGTGCCAGGCGCCAACATGGCTATGAAATGGGCGGACAAGATGTACGAGAACACAAGGTATTAAGAGATGCCGATGACAGAGGCATCGTCCAGGCATGCGCACAAGGTTTCTGGTGCATCAGCAAGGCAACCAAGCATTTGCCCGGGAAAAGGAAGGCGAAGGCCGGCCTGCACGCCCACACATGCAAGGATGCTCTGGTGTAATCCTGTCAAGCACGTCAGGTCCTTTGGTTATTTTCATCACCGCGGGACAGACAGTCACGCCACACATGACTTTCGCGCGCAGATGCAACCCATGGATGCAGGAACTCCCTTGCGCACTGAAAACGCCTTTTGCCCCCTGTCCCACAGACGGTGGTTTCAGTCGACAGCTCTTGCTTCGTACTGGACGCTATAAGTACAATGCACGCCCTTCCCACTGTCAGTGTCTTAAAATGCAAACTACTCTTTCACCGCACGACATCGTCTTCGTCGTGGCTCTTCGAAATGACGAGGACCACCTCCCAGCTGTGAACCCTGGCAACAACCTTGCCCTACACCCTCGGCCCCGTCCCTGTCAAAGCCCCGCCCGGTCCTCACTTGGGAAATTGGTCCACGCAATCTTCAAGTTTATCTTTAGCAGTATAGAGGATCTGCGAAGCATGGCAGTTTCAGCAAACAGTGAATTGAAGGTAACAGATGTGGGACGAAGGGTCCTCCAAAGATCCTCCAACGGGCAAACGCACACAGCTCAGAAGTTATGCTGGAGGCGACTGTATGCTCGTTGGCTTACACACCGGAGGCGCCCTTGTGATTGTGGACCTGCTGTGGACCTGCTGCCTGGGGGCTTGCAGCAGTAACTGAATCAGTTGTGCTGTTGTGGCCTCCGCGAGGACAGGCAGGGCGTGTGGCCTCAGCATATGGCCCCATCCTCGTCTCCATGTGTTTTCAATCCAGGGTTGCGTTGGTTAGCGTTCTAGCAGCAATTCCCAAGGCTATGCCCGTCTTTGCAAATGATTCCCCCCCTCATGGAGTTTGTACCCACTGCCCAGATGATGAAGCTCCACAGTCAATCAACACACTGTGCTGAAGCCCCCATCACTGTGACAAATACTCCGTCTGATAAACATTTTCCTACGCTATGACCGGACATGGACAATAGCAGCAAGGTTGCAACGACACAAGACAGCCTTTCATAAGCAAAACAGCGCAGCGGAGGCAACTTTTCTTGCAAGTGTCTGCTGAGACTCCCACAGCAACAACATTCAGCTGAGCATCGGCAGGTTTGGTAAACAGGCTACTGGCCACGAAGCGGACATGCTGTCTTCGTTGGCAACCGCTGTAAGCCCCACCTGCACCCCAATGCTCCCCCTACTTCCCCCGCCCTTTGGGCTTTCCCTTGCGCTAAAGCACTGTTATGCGCTGAAGTGACATCCAAAAACCTGTCCTGATTCGTACCTTCTCCGCAGGCATTATCACACCTTCGACAGCCCCATCAATGTGGGCGCAAGCACCGCTGCTACTGCCCATGCCTTGCCCAACAAAAAGCAGCTTGCATCCCGAATTCCCTCCTCATTTTAAGCGCTTATTACGGAATCATCCCAATCTGTGCAGGTGCTGATGCCGTTTCGATGGCTGTTTCGATGGCCGACGGCATAACGTGGACTGCCATGCGGACAATCAAGCTGACACATGGTCCCCCTTCCAAAGCTTGACGGGGGCTAAAAAGAACGCAAACGGAACCAAATCGTAACTTGAAGGCAGAAGGGGAATATCCCCAACCCCAAAACGAGGGATACTTCAAGATTGCGCTTTTGGCTTACCGCTTCGGTGTCAGTCACATAGCCGCCCACGCTCCGAAGCTGCCCCAGCAAGGACAATGCGTACAACGCACAGGCGTCCGCGTCGCCCGGGCTAAGGTCCCAGAGCGCCTGAGCAGCCGTGTTGCAACACACAGAACGGGAATCCTACCCTCAGGGCTCTTAAATCCCCGCATAGCTGCTTCAGGTGGTGAACATAACAATGACAGTCAACAGACGTTTTTGCGGACTGCTGCAGCTTCTATGCTTGTGTCGAGTGGACCATGAAAGCATCGTCATATGCAGGGACCAGCAGGGACGATGGCATGCCGGCGCAGTACAGCTGAAAGGGACTACGCGACCCTTGCAAATCTGTCCAATCCACTACCGAATCCCGATTGAAACAACAATGAGGAAACAAGCTCGGGCAGCGAGACAACAGGCGTTGGCCAGCCCGCAGCGCTCACCTTCATTTGCTGTGAGTATTGAGTCTCTCGGTCTTGCAGGGAAGTGTTTGCCTTAAAGAGCGCTCGCACCGCTGCCACGTACAGCTGCTCGCGAGCTATGATGGGCAGGAAGAAAGGCACGCACATGACATAGCACAGGCACTTACAGGCAACCTCAGCATCGTAATTCCTGCGATTAGCATGCACAGGTTGAGCGCTAGACATAGACACAACGGTGCGGCACGCAGTAGTACGGCATGCGGTACATGAAGCGGCGAACCTTCGTGAACTGATTATTAATCAGTTCACGGTTCAGGGTTCGACACCCCATACGGGGCCCGTAAGTTTTTGGCCTTTTTTCGGTATCCCCGTCAGGGCCCGTAGGACTTTGCGGTGGCTCCCGTAAGGATTATGAGGCGCGAAGCGCCCCGTACGGGGCCCCCCCCGGACCGGCCGAAGGCCGGTTACGGTGGCTCCCGTAAGGATTTTAAGGATTTATAAGAGGCCGTACGGGGCCCTGTAGGGGAGAGGACGGACCATTAAAGGATAAGGCCACACACTTGGCAGACATAATTCATATTGCAATGTTTAACTACACTTTTCATAATACTTTTATAGCTTCTGGTCTGTAACATTAAGCGAGGTTGCGACTGACCCAGAGATTGAAGTACTGGTACAAGCAACATACCCCGCTAGTGACGATGAGGCTTTTAGTGACAGTGACTACGAAACCGACGTAGAACGAGATACCGATGAGCCGTGCGTGGATGAGGATTTTGATGAGGAGGAGGATGAGGAGGACGAGAAAGAGGAGCAGAAGGGATGGGCGGCCGCGGCGGCCAAGGCGCTTGGCTTTCGCTGAGTGTGCCGTGTCCCCGAGTGTAATGGTTCACGAGAAAATAACGAAAATAACAATTTACAGGGCAAAATAATGCAAAGCGTCACTTTCCACAGCGTTTCAGCCAAGGACAGTGCCCCCGTAAAGGTTTTGCGGGGTTACGGGGGCCCCCGTAAGGTTTTCGGCCGGTACAGGAGCCTGGTACGGGGCCCCTCCGTAAGGAAAATTTGGGAGGTACGGGGGAGCCCGCAAGTTTCAGAAAGGTCAGTGTCGAACCCTGCTGATTAACAAGGAAACCTATCGGAAACCTTTACCTGTTTACCATGCCAACCCAGGAGGCTTCCCGTTGCAACATCCCGTCAAATAATTGGGAAAATGCAACAAACACCATTAGGCAGCCCGGAAACGCAACAAAAGGGCACTTAATCCAAAAGGAGTGAGGCAGAACCAAATTTGAAACCGACCGACCCACAACAACACCAGGAAACAATGCAGTTTAAACTAACCCAAAGTATACTGCTCTGACTGCTGTACTTCCACTGCCCAAGCCCCGTCAAGTGCACAGAATTTATTAAGCTTCCTTGGCAAAAAGCAAGCGTATGGCCAGCAAGGAGCCGGTGGAAACTCCGTCTAGGGCGATTTCGTGCTTAGGAATACGCGCGTCTTGGCGGTGATGTACGCCGTGCCCGCCGACCTCAAAAGGTCCCCCTACCAGGGTAGAGTAACTTTCTTAAGCTGGCTTGAATATGGACCCGTCTAAGGAGACAAGATCGGAAGGCAGCTACCACCGCCAAACCAAGACGCTTTCAAGCTACAGCACGTGCACACCTGCTGCGTTTTTAACGGCCTGCGTCTGATTCAATGCCGCCAGAACCGCCTGGGCTGATGCAAGGTCTTCCGTCTGCCAGAGAGGCTGCTTGTAACACATGGCCTCGCCCCAGTATGCCATGGCAAAGTTGGGATCCAACGAACGGGCCTGCATGCAGGAGGCGTTTCATGGCGTTGAGTAATGCAACATTTTGGGACAGCCGTGCACTTAATACAGGGACACATCGAGGACAGCCTTCGGTATCGGGTACCAGGGAACATCGCCCGCAAGCTACCAATGCGAATGCCTAAAATCGCACCCGGTGAGTCGCCAAGGCTTAACCCTGCAAACTCATAACTGGCCATTATGCAGAACCGCTATACTTCCTTAGCACAAAGGGACAGACATCAAATCCTTGGAGCACTTCCCGAATGGAAATCCTCAACGTCAAACGTAGCTCTGGACAGCTGGCCGTGTAGGTGACCCACGGGCGCATACCTTCTGGAACTTCTGAATAGCCAAGTCATACCAGAAGACATGCATCAGCATGAGACCAAGCTGGAAATATGCCTGGGCGTTCATTTTTCGCGTGGATGGAACGAAATAGTTCTGCCCCAGGCCCTGGTACAGAACCGCATCCTCGCCGCTGAGGTAATCCAAGACAGTTGCCTCTGCATGCATGTAAAGGAGATACTAGGCCTGAGAGGACCCGTTATCCCAAAAGACTTGCTGCCTTAACCTTTACCTTTATATCGCTTAGGGTCAGTATATACAGCCGCCATGATAATAAAGAATAATAAAAATGCCGCTGCGGTGGGACGTAGCAAGTCTGAGCTTCCATCATATTCGCGTGAAGGTTGATTGGTGACTCGTCGTCCTTACCAAAGATGCCCCAACAGATGAGACCACGGAACTTAGTATCCTTACTGTTCTTCCATGCGCCAAGTAATGTGCTAGACGAGGGCCCTGCGACGAGACCCTCGCGTTCTCCTGACGGCATATTGGCCGGCGATCTAAACAATGCGGAGAGATTAGTATGTGAGCAAAGAGTAAAAAGGATACATACTAAAGCCTACCAAACTATGCATAAGGATCTCGTTGAATTGCGTAATTCAAACAACGAAAGGGTCGTACAGTTGCGAGACTTGCGGTGATAGCTCTACATCATCGGCGTACACGGCCCGCTGAGGAACCCCTCAACCCCGTGCTTTTGGGCTACTATCAACTGGCAGGTGAGTAATTTGTCCCTTCCTTCGACCCACGCAGGCCCTGAGACTCCGCAGACACGCACACGCGCTGCAGGGCCAGAAATTTGCCGAAATGTTAATGTTGTTCATGTACGCTGACGTGTTTTCGTCGTTCAAATGACCGTATAAGCGCGCTCTTTACCATAAACGTAATAGTTTGCAGCTGGTTCACCGACCTGCGACTGAACGTAAACCCCTGAACGTAAACCCCTGTCCCGCGTCGATATTGCGGGGACATTGCTGGACTACGACAACCCAGCTCCAGGTGGTCGAGTTTCAGGTATTCAGGCGGCCAGATGCCGTTTGCTACAGTTTGTCTTCATTCTTCATTCTAAGAGGTACGCCAAGGAGGAGGGTAGGATTCGGGCTGGAATTAGGGAAGAGCTCTGTCGCAGAATTAGCCTGGATTTTATTCCTGACAAAAGAATTGGTCTGCCGAGGTCTGGAATTGTTCTGGCGGACCCGCCGGAGGTATTCGAATTGCGCTGTGGAGCCTCGGAATTGGGCTGTGCTGCGCCTGAATTGGCCTGTCCGGGTGTCGAATTGGCCTGTCCGGGTGCCGAATTGGCCTAACAGGGTATTGAATTAGCCTGACAGGGTATCGAATTGACCTGTTCGGGGTGTCAAATTGGCCTGACAGGGTATCGAATTAGCCTGACAGGGTGTCGAATTGGCTGTCAAGTTGGCAGGATTGGCCGGGGCTGGCATCCAAAAGCACATGACTTTTAAGGAATTTACAGAAAAACTTTGCAAGAGGACCGCTTACAAGTGCCTCATGTGTGTATTAGATTCGATCCCACGACATGGAGTGGAAAAACTTGCACACCTGGTTACCGTACTCTGGCACTACTACTACTACCGGAGGCAAGCACTCAGGGCCACGACTGCATTACCCAGTCAAGTCAGCTGCCGAGGTCCCACTGTTTTCCCACCACACTTTATCGACAGTCCGTCCAGTTTATCCCACAACACTCGTA